TGCTATTCGCCGAAAAGGAATCAGACCTTCAGAAAATGTTGAATATTGTTCATGCTTGGTGCAACAAAATGAGACTGATGATAAATTCTGATAAAACTCAAGTTATGCACTTCAGAGGAAGTACCCAGGCATTATCAGACATTACATTTTGTTTTGGCAATACAGTTCTTTCTTTTACTAAAAAGTACAAATATCTGGGATTTATGGTAGATGAACATCTCACATTTGATGAAGGGATTAAATCACTCTCTGAATCTGCAGGTCGAGCTCTCGGTGCTGTTATAAATAAAGTGAAGGCGTGTCGTGATCTGGGTTATAAGACCTACACTGAGCTGTACAGAGCGTGTGTGTGCCCGGTGTTGGACTATGGTGCTGGGGTCTGGGGTTACTCTAAACAGACGCACAGTGAAAAAGTTCAATGCAGAGCTATGAGATACTTTCTAGCTGTTCATAAAAACACCCCTAAACTCGCTCTGTACGGGGACCTGGGTTGGGAACCATGTGAAGTAAGGCATGTGTGTGACATGGTACGGTTATGGAATAGGTTTATCAACATGTCTGACTCAAGACTGTCCAAACACATCTTTAAATGGGACCTGTCTCATAGAAATGCTTGGAGTGTGCAGATGGAGAACATTTTTGCTGATGCTGATCTCCAGTTTATTTTCAGAAACAAGTTGCGTTGTAGTGTTGGAGAATTTAAAAGAGTTTATTTTGAAAAGTATAAACATAAATGGTTAATCAATGTCTTGTGTAAGCCAAAACTGAGAACTTATGTTTTGATAAAGGATCATTTTGGTCCTGAGCCCTATGTGACCCTGAACCTGACCAGAGGTCAGAGGTCAGTCTGTGCTCAACTGAGGTCTGGGACCCTGCCCCTGGCTCTAGAGACAGGACGATTTCACTCGGTCCCAGAGGAGGAGCGGACATGTTGTTTGTGTCACTTAAATGATATTGAAAATGAATTGCATTTTGTTTTTTATTGTCCTTTGTACCATGATCTGAGAAGGCAATTATTTTGCAAACTGTCTGATGTTGCTGAACTTTTGTTTGAACTGTCCGATGAGGAAAAGCTTAAGTTTCTATTCAAGTTTAAGCCATTTCATTTGTCTAAGTTTTTGTTAAGTGCATGGCTCCAACGGAAGAGAACACTCTTTGTTTGATGTTTTTCTGATGTCTGCTACATTTTTGTGTCTTATAAGCCCATACGGGCTGGGCATCTTTAGGTGCAAGACACCAAATAAGAAATAAACTAAACTAAACTAAACTACTTTGAGTTCTATGGGGAAAATTTCTGTGTAGCCCACGTGAATTTAGTCTGCAGTACGTGAGAATCCTTCAGCTCCAAGCTAGTAACACCCTATCCAGTTATTATAATAGATCCATGTATCATACAGTGGTGTGAATGACAGGATTTTGAAAATAGGAAAAAAATATCATAAACAGCTGCGGTAGTGTGTCTTGTCAAGGCAGTAGGTTTTGGTTTGCTTGCGTGTAGGTAATAACCAGCTACAACAGCACCATCTGCTGGTGTACTGCTAGAACAACCACATTACACTTACAAATCTTTTTGACACACGCTTGGCGGCAGAGGTGTGTCAAAAAGAGATTCGTGTGTAAAACAGAGCCTGTGCGTAGCACTTAGGCTTTTTTCGTTCTTCTCTTTGTACAACGAGGTTATTTACACACAGATTGTTCTGCTACAGATACAAATGTCAAATTACACACACACAAATCTGTTTACGCACGCACACAGTCCAAGTTACACTTGCGAATCTGCGAAGGCAGGACTGCGTCAAAAGATTCGTGTGTAAAAAAAAAACTTGTGTGTAAAACGTACTTTTTTTTTCTTTACACACACACAAATCTTTCTACGCACACACAAATCTTTTTACGCACACACAAATCTTTTTACGCACACACAAATCTTGATACGTACATACAAATCTATTTACACATGCACAAATATTTCTTTTACACACACACAAATCTGGTTACGCACGCACAAATCTGGTTACGCACACACAAATCTGGGTACGCACACACAAATCTGGTTACGCACGCACAAATCTTTTTACGCACACACAAATATTATTGAAACAATAATAGCTCCATAAACATCCACATGGAGAAATGCCTTTAAACATTTTTTGGTTTCTTTTTGAAGGACAACTTTATATAGGGAAGAGCAGTGCATGCAAAAGCTCAAATTTTAATAGAAATAGCTTCACTCTTGTTACCCTGCTTGTTACGCTGTCATTATGTAAAGTATTGTCCTTGTGTGACTCGTGTGCAGTTTAAAAACCAATGAACGCAAGGTGGTGCTCAGTATATGAAACGGTCGCCCCCTGGCTGCTTTTTCAACAAAATTCCAGTTTTTGCGCAGTGGGAATGAGGCTAATGCTGCCTCCCTGTGAAGCCATGAATCTGAACAATGTCAGGGGCAGGACTCAAACTGCTAACCACTGACCTGAAACGGTCGAACACTCAAGGCCTGTCAAACATATGTTGATGGATTATATATTGCTTCCGAAAAAAAACATATCTGTATAACCATAATACTTAAATACTTTAATGCAACTGAAAAAAATCCAAAACAGCACTATATCCCTCATTTCTCCATTGCAAACTAATTAAAGACTTGTGCTAAGTATTAGAACAATAGTGATAATTAGCCATGCATGGGTTTTATATTCAACCCTCTACAGGCAACCCATGATCATGTTACAAAGAAAATAACAAAATCTAAAATATTAAACCCAAAAAATCGTTCCTTCCTTCAATTATTGAACGAAAAGTCGATATAGTACTTATTGTTACAGGCCCATGCTGCCTTCTTCAAATCACATGTGGGTCATTTTGGTTCCCCACTAGAGTCACGGGGTTGTAGCTTCATCAGTATAGCCACAGCTGCCCCAGGGCTGACTGGTGGCTGGTGGATACTATCATGGGATTAAGTTTTCCAAGTTTAAAATTTGCTATAATTATTGCAAGGACATGAACCCAAATTGCGATATATTCACACGTGGTATATATGTTGGATTACATGTAAAAAATCTCAGAAGCCACAAGAGCAGGCATGTTAAAACAAGAGATATCATCGAACTGTTTTGAGAGCTATGGACTAGTTAGATTGATTTTTTTTTGCATGGTTAATTTTGTGTGGTTTTAAACTTATATGCAGGACATCTGCAATGTTTATTTCACTAAGATAAGATAAGATAACCTTTATTTGTAATAAATTAACAAAGATAAGATCACGGGCTACAGATGGAAAGTAGTATGGTGCTAAATCTGGTGCAGCCATCCTTTTTAACTGTCCTCAATAAACTAAAATCTATAAAAAAAATCTTGAGCTAAAATTGCACATTTACAGTCAGAAAATATAACTAGAACTAAAACATATCCTCTGAGATGAAACTTGAAACGGAATGCTCCCCTGGTTTTAAGTTATTACGAACAAAGCAATTGTGTATACTGTGCCTTGATCTGATCTAGCCCACTCCCCATTGGCTTAAATATCAGTGGTCAAGAACTCACAGGATGCAGTGGTTTCTCCGTGCGGCTCTTTTACTGTTTTTACAAGCACATAACATTTAAAACAACAACCAGAAATGATGTGGCTTCTGCAGAACGAGGTGTGGCTTGACATTAACCTCACATTTTATCCGGCCAAAGACAATAAAGACTTTATAAAAACATCCTATTTAATCATGTCCTTGTAGTTCTTTGCGAGTGTCATAATTTTGAGCACTCCAAGCTGTGGGTGTTTATTCAGTGAAGCAGTGATTAAAAGACAATTTGAACTAATGTATACTGTATACTAATGTATGTGGATTTAATGATTTAAGTAAAATTAGGGGACGTCTAACAGCGTTACAGCATAAGTAATAGTAATATTGTCTTTTGTGATAAATGGCTTCTTCAAACCGCGGAAGAAGCCATTTTGAACATAAGCTAGCTAAGGCCCAGTTCCTTATATGGGCATTTGGTTCGACTATGACAGCTTAGCGTCGTAGCAGGGGTCGACGTGTTGCTAATGTGGTTGCTAAGGGAAGCTGGAGTTTACCACGCAAATGAAAGAATCTGATTGGTCAATCCTTAAAGAAGCAGTATGTAAAAATCTGGCCAAAAGTGGTACTGCAACCTCTCCCACTCTCCCTGACTCAGGTTGGCAGATATGCAGACAAATCCGCTGGGACCATAGTATTTGCATAGACAAGAGTTTTGTCAAAAACTAATTTATAACAAACACCTTTTTCACAAAGGCCCCGATAGAAATCATTGTTTAATTTATCGTTTTGTCATTAATGACTAATGATTAGTTCTGCTGCCACATGCTACTTTACCAGCGATTCGTTTGACGCAGTGAATTCTGGCAACCCGAATCACAGACTTTATGATTGGTAAAACAGTGGTGGACGAGACATCAAAAATAAAACAATAACAAGATTTAGGGGCTGTAAAACAAATTGGGAAATTCCAATATCTCGGCTGAACTACTGTTATCAGTTAAAGAAGTTTCCCAAAAGAGCATGGTTTATTTATGCCTTTTGACAGATTAGGGCCATTTAACTCATTGACTACTAGCCATTTTTGAAGATTTCACTGATTTTCAAGACCCACAAAATATTGTGTGCTATGTCTATGTGAAATACAAAACCAGATTCTGAAAGACTGGATTGTCTACTTTCATCAGAAAAAATAAGTATGTTTCTTGCTAGTTTTGTTCTTCTGTCATCCCCAGTCAAATAGAGGGAAGTTTGACAGAAATCACCGGTCTCAGACAAACACGTCAATGGCAGTCAATGAGTTAATGATGACTTAACATGAAAATCTTACATATTGCCTTTAAATGGCTCCTGTGTGGATCAAAGACAATATGAAATTTAAAACACCAGGATCGGAGCGAGTGCTTTTTAGTCCTCATGGCAGAGTGTAATTTTAAATTAATATCACTAATGAGTAATTGTGATTGTAAACAGAGGGTGGGAACTTACCAAACCTCTTATATCCAAAGGACTGCACCTCCTCTTCATCAGCAAAGTCGTCTAGAGAAAAATATGTTCACATCAATATCAATCAATATTACTATGTTTCCAATGTTTCCCAAATAAGCCATGAGAGCACGTGGAGGAATGAACACAAACAAAGGTCATAGAAATTGGCAACACTGAAACTCTCGCTAAAATTCTGCACATTCCTGAGAAAGAGAAAGGCTTTTACCGCAGAATGGAGGCCAGCTTCATGGGTACAGTTATGGTAGATTTTCAATAGAGCGTTTTAAACACGTGGCTATCATGATTTAAGAAGCACAAAACCTCTCAAACCAAACATAAATTATGAAACCAGACATGAGAGAAGGAAGGAGTTATATTCAGATTGGTCTATTTTAACACACATGTATCACCGATGCAGGTAAAGCTTTTGTGATGAGAAGATTAAAGCTGGGGTACCTAATTTTTCAACCACACGGAAACTGTTGTAAAATCCTTAGTTACTCACTCTCTTTGGTTCTATCACTATAGTTTCTGCATGAATGGTATTTGACATCGGTTACATCTTTATAAATCAGCTTTTTCAGAAAGCAAATATATAAGAGAGGACCACCCTCAATCAGCCAATCAGCTTTCAGCCTGAAGACTCGAATAGCGACACACAGGGCTCTTTCTTAAAGCAAAAGTGTTTTCTAGTAAAATGAAGACAGAATGTTGTGGTCTGAATTTTCACAACGTTTCACACTTTCGGTTGGGACAAACAATATATATTATTGATCATAAAATAAAGTTAGGTACCTCAGCTTTAAGTGGGCGTTAAACTTGGCAAGGGAGGTTTTGTAACTGTCATAACGCTGGACATTTAATATTGTCCTGGCCTTGTTTTATAGTTATAATATATCAAATTAGGGTTCAATTCAATTCAATTTACTTTTGTATAGCCCAAAATCACAAAGGCGGTTATCTCGGAGGACTTCGCAAAGTTGTCAATTTTCCTACACGGATCAGAGAATCAAACAGTTCAAACACAATGTGACCAAAGTCAATCATATCCTGGATTATTAAATGAAAAATATGAAAAGATAGTAGTAATTAGGCATAAGAAACAATTATCTATATAAATCTCTTTCTGCAATTGTCTATAAATTACCAGCTAATGGATTTTTTACGAATTAGGTATGCGGTTTGGACATGAGAATACCCTTCTTTAGAGGGCTGACAGCAAAGGAGAACATGTATAATGTCAAAAGTGGTCTCCGCAGTGATAAACAAAGCAGATGTGTGTCCCATGTTGCACAGAACAACCAAGACATATAGGCCAATGATGTCACACAACAAATGGGGAAAACAGAAGCTCATTTTTGGCTAGGTACCACTAGAGGGCGGGAGTGAAAAAGTCAGAGCAAATCAGGTATCAGATAAACACATGTACAGTATGTGAAGAAGAAGTGAGACTTTTTAACCAGGGCGTTTTGAGTGTTACATTACATTTACGTTTAAGACATAATGAAATCTGCTTGTCTCGATAGAATAAGTGGTGTAAAAGTAAAACGTTATCATGGTGTGGACTTTTTTTAATACTTTGATTTATTTTGTTACCTCATCAGTTGTCTTGCCTTTTAAAGTTCTCCTTCCTGTCCCATTGATGTCCCATTGTTCTGTGATTGGCCTGTGTCTTTACCAAGTTTGTTCCCCCCATTACAATACACTTTGATATTCTGTTTGATATTTTGCATTTTTGTATGAAAAAAGCTGATTGGTTGAGAGAGGGTGGTACACTGATCTGAAGATGGGGCAGAGGCCAAACATATACATACATGCATGTGAAAAGTATGAATACAACCAAACTCGTTTAGAGCGAGGAACTAGTGAGATTTTATTACACAGTTAGAAAGTTAAGTACCCCAGCTTTAAGTAGAACGCACGCGCCAGCAGATGCAGAACCGCACACACGTAAATCTAACTATTATAAGTGCGTATAGGTACTGTCCCTGAATGAACCAGTCGTGCAATAGTTCATAGGCTTTTAAATACTACTAAAAACTACTTCATATATAGCGGTGGTATAATATGTGCAGCAGCAGCGGTAACGAGATGCAAAACAATCCGAAGCAAAGCACCTAAGTGATTCCAGATGTCAGACGTGAGATTGCTGCCCACGCATTCCTTACGTCTCAAGTGGAGAAAGAAAGAAAGAAAGAAAGAAAGAAAGAAAGAAAGAAAGAAAGCGCAAGACAAAGTGAGACCGATTGTGCGTAAAACCATGCTTAAATGGAGAAATCTCGCGCTTCTTGTATTTGCATGTTTGCATTTGAATGAATTGTGTGATGTATTCTAATGACTGCTTACCTTTCATCGTGGGTGAATGCAGAGTACAGTATAAAAGAAGCAGCTGTCCGTCACATCCACACCATCGCACGGGTCAACATGCGCGCTCCGATTGCGTCCTTAAGCCCAAGGACTCACCAAAAGTAAAGAAAGTCAAGAAAATAGCAGAACACGCGTAGTGCTTTGCCTCACGCTTGCGGGGGTCTCCAATGCAGGTAGGTAACTGCAGAGAGAGTGATTGGAGGAAGTTTTCAAGAGTTTGGAATCGTGCGTAAAAGGAGTCGCTTGGAAAGAGGCAGAGGTGATGCTGTTTCCAGTTCAGCGCGTGCACCACGACAGCAGCAGCAGCAGCAGCAGTAGCAGTAGTTGTAGTTGTGGTAGCAGTAGTAGTAGTTGTAGTAGTAGTTTCTGTGTGGAAAGTTGAGAGGCTGACCGTGAGGAAGTGGCCTGTTGCTATGAGACACCACGTGCTGCCTCTCTACCTCCAGGCGCGCGAACCTCACCCCCAACTTAGAGAGAGGTGATGTCACGCCATTTTTTCCCCGAGTCAGATGAAAAATAAGATCTCTCAGGAAATGTGCAAAACAGTTACAAAGTTATATGAAAAAAAGGTATAAGACAATATGGACTATGTTAAAACTGGGGTACCTTGTTTGGCTTCATAAGTATAGTACATGTTGTGTGTCCCAACATACAACTTAATGGTATATTGGAGGATTTTCTACTATTTCCAATCATTCTGGTGAAACAAGACCAGATAGTTTAGTTCAAAAAGTGGAGAGGGCGGTTCTTTCCTAAAATTTGGGAATATCCTCCTATACCTATAATCTTTTCAGAGAACCAAAGAAATGTCCTAGTTTGTGACTTCTTTTTACTTACAATAGCAAAATAAAAAAACATTCTGATTCTAATTCATCCTTAAATATGTTGTCGCTATAATTCACGCTTTGGTCTAACTATTTAGTATGAAAAAGCTGATGATGAAGCTGAAAAATGTGACAGAGGCCAGATAAAAACTGTCTTGAGAGGGGGGAATTCTCTTTTTTAGTCCTAAAAGCTTGAGTTGCCATCCCCATTGATGGTAACCCAAGCATTGAAAGTGTATTTGTATAGCTCAGTTCATACATACACAATCCAACTCAAAGTGCAGAGCAAAATGACAAAATAAACATCAAAATCACACAAGCCACTAAAATCATAAAAAATCATTGTACATTAAAGAACGTGAAGATACAATCCTTAAGTGGTATGCACAGCTTAACAGACCTGTTTTAACCTGGATTTGAATATTGTCAGGGTAGGAGCCTGTCTCACATTTTATAAAAGACTGTTCCAGATTGTAGCTTAGAATCTCAAATGCTGCCTCTCCATGTTTAGTCCTGACTCTGAGCACAAGCAAGAGGCCAGTCCCTGTGCTCCTCAGAGTCAGAGTTTGACATTTAAAACAAGCTAAAATATACATGAAGCTGAATGCGCAGGTTCAGACTGAAAGACCGAGTGCCTGCCAGCCTCGAGCCTCAACCAATCACACAGCTCTGCCAGCCTCGAGCCTCAGCCAATCACACAGCCAGGCCAGCCTCCTGCCAACCCTCTCACAGCAAAACGGGCAGTTTAAAAGGCAGCCACTTCCTGACAAGCAACGCTGCCTGAGGCTCTTAAACACCCACCACCTCCCCAGCACACCCTCTGGCTCTTGGCTCCCGCTCTGGCTCCCGCTCTGGCTCCTGCTCTAGGCTCCGGCTCCTGCTCCGCCTACGCCCCATTCACACCATACTCTAGCCACCACCAGTGATTGACCCCGGGGGATCTGAGATCATCTTCAGCTGCAATCGATCTCATTGCTGCAAGTGTCACTGCCGGGGTCAATGCGCCAAACAAATAAATCATTTTGTGTCTTTGGTCTCTTCAGATTGAATTAATTGTACCCAATTTGTCCGATGCATTTGACCCATCCTGGAATGCTGCGTATATGCCACTTGTCAGGAGAAATGGTCGCTGCTGTTCAGCACCCAGGGGTCCAGATGTTGATGCTTGGCTTGGTCAGGATCGGAACGCCTGGAGGAACCTCACCCAGACAAAGACACATGAAAATTCCACACAGAAAATCCTGGGTCAACAGGATTGAACCATAGACTGTAAGTATTAACGGACGTAGTCATGTATATCTCCATGCACCATTGAAACTAATGTGCCACCACTTTTGCCTTCTGTGGGCTTTCTGGGCAGGAAAACGTGAAAAAACGCATTTGCGAATTTGTCACTAGCCCCTTTCATTTGACAAGTGCCTTCTGAAGTCCACAGCTGCTAAACTAGACTGGTCCAAAAAAATTATACTCCTCTGAGCATTAACACACATCTGGAACAATGTGTTAGTCCAAGTGCCAACTTTTAGACCATCCTGTAAAGCTGTTTCTGAGAAGAAAGAAAACACTATACAAAAGCATTGGGTAATTCTCTTTCCGGGTACACCCCCACCGTTCCGGAGTGAGATTGCAAGCATGCCGGCGCACATGCTTGTGGACCTTAACGCAAGATCTCACAGCGAGGTCAAGATAAACGTGGTTATTCAGGTTTGGTAAATTTTTCCAAGTGCAATTTACAACAGTCAGAACATATGGACGGTTAATTTGCAGATATGTCCATTTGGAAGATGTGTTAAAAAGTTGTATTCCACTATTTTCCCAAGAAGTGGTAAAATGAACCTGGCTTGTCAAAGAACTACTCGGTAAAGGTCGAGTTTGTTATTCATATTGGGTCAAACATGTCAAATTAAGTTTAAAAGCAAAATAAATGCGTCTTCTGCCTTTGACCCATCCTTAAATGTCAATGTCTAAGTCTACTTTATCTGTATAGCACATTTACAACAACACCAGCTGCCCAAAGTACTTTACATGCACACAAGAATAAAAAAAAGCATTGAAAGAAAGAAAGGGTCACATTTCACTCTTGTCATTTAGAGTTAAAAGACAAATCTACAAATACACAAATTTACTGATGTATGTAACCAACGCACATGAAAAATATCAACACACTTCGATTTCAAAACACATCACACAGTATTGAGCCAATTTAGATATGTGTTTTCATGTTATTATTATTATTATTTTTATTTTTTGAATTCCAGACCCAAACAGTCATGATGGAGGAGAACACAATCCAATGGAAAAGAATGACTTCCACGAAATTGATGTGAACCCCAGATTTTTGACCTGGATTTGTGCGTTTGTGGTTTTGTCGTTAAGGAACCGAGTCAACCGTAAACTGCAGTCGTTGTTAAAGGTCCAGTATCAAAGATAATCGTTTACATCGGGTCTAACTTTTGTACACGTCCAGTTTAGCTGCTGGTGTTAAAGCGACACCCCCCGCCGCTGGCCTGAGGTTGGAACGCCACACTGAAACCATTACCACCGAGTCTCGTAAAGCCGTTAAAGCCAGGCACCTGTTTTTCTCTTCAGCCTCACTTTGATCACACCTCACTGTACTCATATCCACTTGTGCAACATGAACGTAGACCTCACGGCTTACTCCAAACCTGGGGATTAGAGATTATATTCTTCATCTGTGATTAGTAAATGCTTATTCTTATCTCGATATCCTGCTGTGACTCGCAGGGTTGCAGTTTTTGTGTAAAATGTGCTATACAATTCAATTTTCTTGTTCGCCAAAGCCTCAAAATACCATTCGCTATTTGAGATTATATTTAAATCCAGTTTTGTGAGAATATATTTTTATACAGTTTGCCTGTAAAGTCCTGCTTTCGTCCCAAAATTTAGACTATTAAAGCTATAGTACCTAACTTTCAAGCCACAACCATGGACCTGCCATAAAATTAATTTTTATATTTCCTCACTATCAAAACAGTTTGGTTCTATCACTGGTTCTATCACTAGTTAGGGTTAGGGTTAGCTACTTTTCTGACCGATATTACATTACTTCAAATGATTTTAGACAGAAATGTGAAAAAACAGTGGACCGCTCTCACTCAGCCAATCAGCTCCCAGCTCCCAAAGCGTCAAATAGCGCCTCACAGAGCTCTTTCTGTTTTCTTACAAGATGAAGAAGATCATGTTGGGAAAAAAGATACTGTTTATATTTTTTGAATCAACAATGGAACAAAAATATGATTCATTTAATTATTTCAAACACATAGATTTTTTTTAAATGTCAAATAACACTGTTTATTTTCCTTCTTCCTTATCTAGAAGTTGTTTTTCAAAATGTTTGAAAACCTCTATCAAAACAATGTGTGGACTATAACCCTGAGTTTTAGAGTTGATGTTTTCTGTAGTTGTAGTCTGTAGTTTTAGCCCAGATTGCTCTGCGTTGGGGGTTATTTTCATATGAGCCGGAGATGTCAGTGGGGCAGAGGACGCTGGGTGTTTTTCATTATTACCCGGAGAGAGCTCTATTTTCGGGGTCAAAGCGTGCAAAGAGGGCACATATTTGACCGTGTGGAGTTTGGAGAAGAAAAACTCTGGACACTTCTGCAGGAGAATGGCAGGACATTACTTTAATACTGTATTGTTACATTAAAACAGCAGCAAAAATAACAGTAAATCACCATAGAATTCCACACTCTAAAACTTATACACACATCAGTTTATCTTGTTGTGTGTTGGAGCTGCACCATTTTGGTCTATTTACCATATTTTCAACATTTTAAATTCGCCTAATTTTGTCCAAAATGATAGCGTAAAGAGTGTTCCAGTTGAAAAAGCCTGCATATGAAGCGACCATACACAATTTCTACACATTTTAGATTTTTTTTATAAAGTTCTAAACTATAGAACAATCTTTTTTCTTGTAGAAATACAGTATTCACAGCAAAAAATGTGTATAGAGAAACACTTGATTTAAGTAGTTTTTACCTCCTCAAAAAAGTCTTACAAACCGTGTGTCTGGTAGTGTGTGTGTGTGTGTGTGTATGTTACTTTTCAGGTGTCTGTCTCCATGGAGATGTATCACTTTGCTCCAAATGTTCCCCTATTTAGTTAGATTTGTAGTCACTGCAAAAAATGTTAAAATATTTGGTAAAAATTGCCATAATCAAGTGGTTTTTAATCTTGATTTGAGCACATTCTGACTGTATCTTTCTTTCTTTATATACCGCAGATCAGAGTCTCAAACCAGTTTACAATTGTTATTTTTGGGCATTTGTCCTCTGACACAGAGATGGGAGCAGGGTCGCCAGTATAGGAGGTGCATGCAGACCTATTGTACATATTATTAGTGGTAGAGGAAACCAGAGTACCTGGAGAAAACCTACACAGACACAGGGAGAACATGCAAACTCCACTCACAAAGGCCCTGGTCCGAGCAGGATTAGAACCCAGGACCTTCTTGCTGAGAGGCGAGAGTGCTATCCACTCAGCCACCGTGCCGCCCAAGAAAACCTTGAAAATCCGTGAAATCATCAAAAACGGCAGTCAACGAGTTAAGGCAGTCAAAATGTGCTCAAAATGATTTTGCCAAAATTGGGACGTTTTTGAATTATTTTTCATCACTTTTTTAAGCCTATTAGTGGTGCCCCCATTGCACGTCTTTCATAAGAGAAGTTCAATGCCATAATCTGGAACATTCTTAGAGAAGCCAGTCCTCACCTGGGCGGCACGGTGGCTGAGTGGATAGCACTCTCGCTTCTCAGCAAGAAGACCTGGGTTCGAATCCTGGTCGGTATAGAGCCTTTCTGAGCTGAGGTTGCATGTTCTCCCAGTGTCTGCGTAGGTTTCCTCTGTGTGCTCCGGTTTCCCCTACCACTAAAAACATGCACAATAGGTATGAATGTAAATGAGAGAGTGAATGGATGGTGTTGATTGGGGGCTGTGTGTTCAGTGTGTTCGGCGACTTGCTTCTGTCATCACCGTGTGTAGAATGATTGGAATGGAACAATATCTGAACATGGTAAAGTGCTTTGGGTGACCTTGGTCTGTAAAATGCACTTACTCACCTCAACTGGGTTCATTTAACTGCTGTTTCTTGAATAAATCTACAGTTTTATTATATTTTATTGTACTATAATGTGTCCATGCTCCTGTGACTAAGCAGTGTTCTCTTGCATTTGTGTGTTTGTGTGTGTGTGTATAAACGCTGGATTAACGGCCGTGAGAAGCAAAGTCACTAATAGGATGAAGGTGGAGCACAAATAGCTCAAGCTGGGTCATTACGAGTCAGGTCCAGAACAACACCTCTCAGGGAGCTCCTACAGTCGCACAGGTAAGCTCCCCACTTTCATAATAACTCTATATGGACAATTAGGCAAGACAAGACAAGTTTATTTGTGTAGCACATAAACTTCATTTCATATACACAAGGCAACTCAAAAGTGGATTAAAATCATAAATAATCACAGTACATTGTAAAGAGTGAAGATACAATCCTTCAGTGGTATGTACAGCACAACTGAACAATTTTTAACCTGGATTTAGACAATGTCAGGGTAGAGGCCTGTCTCACGTTTTCTGGATGACTGTGGAAGATTTGTGAGAACTGTGATCAGTGAAAAACAGCATATGTGAAAGTCTGAGAGTAGTTAAATAAGTAAAGCAAGTTTTAAGGAAAAAAAGCTAAAAGATGAAAATCCTACACGTTTTCACAAGTGCTAAAACAGTATCGTAATGGATATAATGGATACAATAATCTATAGTTCTAGTTTTCCTTTTAATATATATGTTTTTAATGCTGCCTTTTCATAGAATGATATAAATATTTGTGACAGAGCAGACGCAGTAGACAGTCTCAGACCTGCCAAAAACAAATCATGAAAATTGTTCTTCACCATATTTGAAGATAAAATTAGCAATAATCAAAATCAATATGGGAATGTTTTGACTGTATTGTGCAGAAAATATATTGTCTTTGCTTATACCATGGTTATAAGTGATTGTAAAGCAGCACAGTTGTATGTCCTGAGGATACTGCCACTGTGTGAAGTGCAGAGTTGAGGCTCGGGCTGGTGTGTGGCTCCCCCCAGTGGTAGATATGTGACCACTACACGACCCAAAATTGTATATGGTCTGATTCATAGCCGAGAATCAAACTTTTTTTCTTCTTAAAAGAATTATGTTTGTAACAGCCATGGATCTATAATTAGGTATAAGGCAGCCAAGAGTCGTGTTGAAGAAACATGTTCAGACCATGACATTTTAACATCCCAGACAACATGTTATTCTTTCCACAGTAAGAGTGAGGGCTGGTTCTCTCATATTCACTGACAGAGATCAGTTAAATTTGTGACAGAGGACAAAAATACTTGTGAAGAAATATAGAACCACACATTGTTTAGTGCTTTGATTTTGTTACATGGATTTTAATTACAAAGGTATTTGTTGTGGTTTTTAAGTTAGGAACTGTCAGGCAATTTGACTGCTCTGGGAGTTCTAGTAACACTAGAACTCCCAGAGCAGTCAAATTGACGGCAATTAGTTTTGGAGTACGTAGTTCTACCTTCAACTCCCCGAGCAGTCATTTCAGTCGCTTGACATACAACAATCTATGCCAGTTAAAGCCTTGTTTTCATGGTGCTGGTTCTGGACTGGTCCTGGTTCAGCTTGGTTTGGATCCATGGGTTTTCTACCAAAGCAGAGCAAGTCCTAGCAGCAATTAGCATTTGGTAGACTTTCAACCAATTATTTTTGGTATATTTGAAGTTGTAGTAACCACATTTAGCATTTACTGAAGGGTTTAAAAAAGGTGAATTTTTTTTTTAATTTGTAAAACACATTCACTTTTTTCAGAATTCCACTGATTAGAATGTGGGAGCTGTCAAAATGACTGCTCTGGGAGTTCTCGCGGTTTTAGAATTCTGGGAATTCTAATATTAACTGTTGTGATTTTGCTTTTTAGTGAGAACTTCTTCTGAGCAGGAACATGAAGCTCCTGTTGAGCCTGGCCGTGGCGCTGACCACACTCGGAGTCCTGCGCTCGGCAACGGACGTCAACATCATATCAGAGGAAACTTTGAAGCGTGAGTCGATTTAGGGACATTAATATAAATAATGATTAATGATAAAGATAAGCGCCCACAAGTATTGCATAAATAAATGACATGTTCTATGTCAGAGAAATACATGAATAAGTTTGAGAATTAAATATGATTTAAATATAATACATTAAGAGGATAATAAAACTCTGGAGCTATCATTGTGGTGGTGTCTGGTGTGACTGTGGCGTGTGTCCGCAGAGCTGTCCCAGGCCGGAGAGAAGGTGGTGGAAGAGGAGATGAAGAAGGCCATGATGGGAGTGATGCAGATGAGAGACGTGATGATGATGAACCAACAGAAACATGAACAGCTGATGAAGTCTCTGCAGAGGAGCACCGACAAGAAGAAGGTCAGAGCCATCCACCCTTTGTTTGGGGGGTTATTATTATCAACTAATTATACCAACATGTGTGAAGGGGAGTAACTGGGGGAAATGGAATGGACACTATTTATTTATGTATTGCTTTTTACAAATAGCACTTATTTAATGAAGAGATCCTTTATTTGTCCCACAGTGAGAACATTTTATTGTTGCATTACCAGACACAGAACTGTAGGAGCAGGCACGAAAAACAAGATAAGTGAATCTTATATAAGTTATCTGTAGTTACATCTGTAACTACAGATGTAACTAAGAATTTTGAGGTAATAAGTAGTTATCTCTGAGTGTCCAAATGTTCACAGTGATGTGTTCACAGATGTGGCCCCATGTTGTACACTCTGCATATTATTAATGTAACATTACTGCATTATGTTGCACGGATGCATGACATGTGAGGTCAGGTCGGTGTTCATCAGTCTTCATTGTTCATTGTACTGTCTGACAGCCCCTGGAAGGAAAGACTTGTGGAACCTCTCCTTCACACATGGTGGATCAGTCTGTCACTGAGGCTGCGCTCCAGAGACAGCTAATGTTGATGAATGACCTGACGATTGTTTTTGATGGCTGAAAAATGGATTTTCCTGCTGTATTAATAAAGTGCTTCTGTCCGTCCGTCCGTCTGTCCGTGATAGACATACAATAGTACAAGTTGAAAGCACATTTCTCAGTACATGCTCAGTACGTACTCAGTACATGTATTATACCGTGAGTGTGTGTTTTCTGCAGGATGCGGAGCAGTTGTCGAAGGAGGTGACGGAGAAACTGACGGAGGCGGAGCAGCAGTGTAAGGACTCTCTACAGTCTGAGTGGGACGAGTGCAGGCCCTGTTTGGAGAACGCCTGCAAAGACTTCTACACCTCCACCTGCCGTAGGGGCTACGCCGCCTTCCACAACAAGGTACAACTACTGCGGCTGCTGCTGCTGGTGCTGCTGCTGCTGCTATTACTATTACTATTTTTACTATTATGGTTGCTGCTACTTTTATAATAATGCATCTGTTTTATACAACTTTTCTGGACACTCATAGACGCTTCACATGTCATAATTCATTCACTCCATACATAGTGGTGATAAACTACTACTGTAGCCATAGTTGCCCTGGGGCACACTGACAGAAGCGAGGCAATCAATGTGTGCTATTGGCCCTTCCGACCATCACCACTATTCTCGCACACACTAAAGTCCTTCTAGGCAATGTGGGTGAAGTGTCTTGCCTAAGGACACAACAACAGTTTGGCACTTTACAGCCGGCCTATTCTGGCACCTACTGCTACTGCTACTACTACTACTACTACTACTACCCTAGGTGTGTTTGTATTTGCAGGTACAAAACTTCTTCAGCACAGTGTCCAAGCGCTTTGGCCCCCAGCAGAGCGGTCTGGAGGCTGGGGACATCCTGGTGAACCAGGAAGGCCCTGAACCCACCGTGAGGCGCATGGAGGAGTCCTTCTCACTGCTCATGACCCGAGTGTCTGCTGTGGTAAACCGCAGCCTGGCGCTGGTCTCACAGATGAAAGGACGATGGGACCAGAACCTGCTCAACAGATTCCTTAACCACACCGAGGACAAGAGGTTAAAGCTCACATATGACACGCCCCAACTTGGAATTATTACAGAGGGGGAAGTAATAACAAAGATATACCAACAGAATGCATTCATATGACATCACAATATTTTAAAGAACCGGGTTAGAGAATTGTGGTCTAAAATTGTCTAGAATTGTGGTGGAAGGCAGCTGAAGAATCTTTCCTGGTTTCCCATAAGTAGTAAGTAGTAAGTAATCTTTATTACTGGGGCAGCATGGTGGCGCAGTGGTTAGCACTTGTGATTCAGAAGGTCCTGGGTCCAGACAGGGCCTCTCTGTGTGGAGTTTTCATGTTCTCCCCGTGTCTGCGTAGTTTTCTTCCTGGTGCCTCTGTTTCCCAAACCTCTAAAAACATGTACAGTAGTTCTGGCATGCGCCTCCTGTTTGGCTCCATCACTGTGTGGAGTGAGGGAACAAATGCCCTCAACAATTGTAAAGCACTTTGTGACTCTGGGAAAGATGCTATATGAATAACTTCATTATGATACAGTGCATTTCGCAGACCAAGGTCACCAAAAGTGCTTTACAATGTTTTTGAGTCCAAACATCTTTCCATTCCCCCTACACACAGTGATTCACTCACTCAATCACATCAATACCTATTGTACATGGTTTCAGCAATAGGGGAAACCGGAGTACCTGGAGGAAACCTACGCCGACACATCCAAACCATAGAAAAACCATGGTAATTTCCCTGTTTATTCCTGGACCAAACCACACTGAAACAAAAACACATATTCAGTATGGTCTAGTTATTCCCTCATAGGTTCAGGTAGCGATGAGTTGGTCGGTACAAATAACATAGGAGTTTGTGAATCTAATCTCTATTAAATAAAATTCTGGGAAAACACTTTCGTTTTCAACATCTAAAGATGGCTTCTTTCCTATAGACCCGTATTGGCACCTGCCGCCCACTGAAACAGAACTCTTCAACAATCATTTTTTTCTTTCATCTCAGGAGCTAAGAGCAGGACTGGATTACACAGAGAGATGGGAGAATGCAGTGCTGTGTTGAGGATTGTGCTTAGTTTTGAGAGATTTCCTGTTCAGACTAAAAAATAAAAGCCTTGTGTTGTTGTGGCAAAAACACTTCGTTGCCTTCAGTGTTTTCAAGTGCATGCATGAAACTGGAGAGTGGAAGTGGAACAAAAAAGGGTAATTACCCAATTCCAGAGTGTTTACGGCTTCTAATCCTCACCCAAAAAGAACTGTGTAGAGGGTAAAGTCTGATTTAACGTTTAAAGTTGAAGCAGCAACTTATAGCGATCTAAAGAAGATTTCATTGCACCTAACTCAATAAAAACAGGGAGTATAGAGTGAGAGGACCTGAGAAGAAATGGATTTGTTGTTCTAGTCTACAGTATACCATGAAAAAAAAAAAAAACGATACATTTTTGTTTATATCAACATTTGCCACTAAATATAAGCTTCTCTCATTTTATTTTTATGGATTTAAATCATGCACAGACTATTGTAAATGTAATTACACACATGCACACAACTACACAGACACACTCACACACACACACACACATATGCGCACACTCACACAAAGACAGACAGACACACATATACGCACGCACACGCACACTCACACAAAGACAGACAGACACACATATACGCACGCACACGCACCAGGGGAGAGCGAGGAATCAGGCATGACTTTACATCGCAGACCTCACAAAGAGTGTGTGTGTGTGTGTGTGTGTGTTGGTGGAACAGAGCGCTGGAGAGGGACATGGCCGACCCCTTCTCCTCGGGCCGGGACTCAGGGTTCCTGCGGGGCGTGGGGCTGGACCAGGTGCTGGACTCCTTCTATGACTTTGGCCGCAGCGTGGCGCAGGAGTTTGGCTCGGTGGTGACTCAGGTGTTCGGAGATGTGAACGAGGCTGTGGAGCAGGCAAAGAAGACAGGTCAGTCTGTCAATGTGCCGGTGTGGCTGCAGGTTTTCATTCCAACCAAGCAGGAGCACACTGTACTTCACCCATCTCCTCAAGTGTCCAGGTTAACCTCTTAAGGATCACCCTCCCTGTACAGGGAGGATTCAGTTATTTTTCATTTAACAGCATCAGTATTAGAATTCACTTGTGTCAATATAGTCAAGCTATATCTCTTTTGAAAGCTTATTCCCACCTCTAAACGCGTATTATGTTCAAATAAACATTAAATATAACCAAAATTAAGAATAAGTAGTCTAACTGTATATATATTTAAAATATATATTGTCCTTTCTTACCTTGTCATGCTAATATTCTGGGGCAAATCACGTCTAATCCACACATGTGTGCATTCGTTTTGTTCTTTAGGGTCTAGAGAATAATTATATCCAGTTGTTTTTTCTTCAAAGTCATCCTTATAGTAGATATCCACTTGCAACAACATATTTGAGCATTGAAAGTTGCACAAACAAAAACAAAACCTGTTCTTTGCGCACTGTATGAAGAGGACATTTTACTGTTTAGCTAGCGTCACTGGGTATGTTCGTCTTCCCCTAAGCCTCCCCTTCAAAACAAGCCCATTCCCGGACTTTTCAGTACTATGGTTTGGAAGGTAGAGTAAGTTGAGTAAAACAAGCGCACCTAGCTTTAGCGCTCCATTCACATAGATATCTGTGCGTCACGACAGCATTGTCTTGACTACCATTGGCCGATTTGGATGTCAATCAAATCATCTTGTAGCCAATAATCTCAGGTTTCAGGCGATGTGTCGGACTTCAAGGTTCCTCCCACTGTTCCCGTCATATTTGAATGCGTAAAGAGGAAGACGGAGCCTTTTTCACGGAGAACACGCGCTATAACTATATAAATAATAGCTTTTCTGCAAACCTTTCAATAACTGGAAAAAATTCTATTTATAGCAAGAGTAATAGCCAAAAAATTATATAAATGGATTTTTGATGTAAAAACATTGATAATTTGCATGTAAAACACTTTGGCACAGTTGGCACAAAAATGGACCACTTGTGCCGAATGTGCCCATTAGTTACAAAAAAGCCCCCAGCATCAAAATAGTTCCACCTAAAGGTCTAAAATTTCATATAGGTGTTTCCAACACCACAAACATCTGATCTGGTGAGTTTGAACATCATACCATAAAGTATGTCTTCAAGAGAACCTTTTGAAATTGCCTTTTATTTTTTTTGACAAAAAAAACTAACTTTGACTCATGTTTGAGAAGCTGTAGTGCAGACTGTGTCCTTCCTAACAAACTGTAACATACATTTTCAGAAACTAGAAGGTTTTACCTTTCAAAGGAGGCCTCATAACACAAAATCAGACACAAGATGTCCACACAATAAGCATTTCCATTTGGGTATCATAATTCGAGAAGGAGCAGGCGAAATTAGGTGATCCTTAAAGGGTTAAGGCTGGCCCACTCCTGGTTTAAACCAAATTGAGCAAGATTTCAAGCAAAGTAATTGGCTTTTAACTAGAACCATATACAGTCAATGATCTGTAAGTTTCAGAATAAATAAGGTCCATTTTAGTGTGTATTCCGTTTGTGATTCAACAGGTTTGTAACTCATTAAATGTTGCCGTTTACATTTCTGTGTGTGTTTTGTGTTTTTTTTCGCAGGGAGAGAAAGAATTCCTCGTTTCTTCCAAAACAGGAGACTGTGCAGGGACCTCCGCAGACAGACGTCAGAGTGCTGGAGGCTGCACACTCAGTGTGAGGCCTGCCAGGGGGCGCTGCTCTCAGGTATATGTCTGTGGTGCTGTAGCAGGAATACAACAAAACATACAAACATTTTACTTTTGAAAAATAATTTAACATGATTCTGTTGAAAAATAAAAATAAAATTGTCCATGGAGAGTTTAGGCCATAATATACAAGATTCAATTCTTTCACTTCCAAGTATCAGGTGAAACTCGAAAAATTAGACGTTTAAAAGTCTACTTACTTCCCTTATTCAACTCAAATTGGCTCACAGCTTTTAAAACCCCCAAATAAATAAAACCTCTAAAATGATTGAAAATTACAGACCAGACCATAACCGACTGGACCAAAACCTGGACCATAATCTAGACTGGAATCTGGACCAAAACCTAGATCGTATTATTATAGACCCAAACATGGACCATAACCTGGGCCGTAATCTGGGTCATAATCTGGATTTTTAACCTGGACCATAATGTAAACCATATCCCCTGGTCTATATTACAGTCCAGACCATAACCTGGGCCGTAATTTAGACCGTAACATGGACGAAAACCTGGACCCGTAATCTGGATTATAATCTGAACCCTGGGGTAATCCTCCTGTTCCCTGCGCAGAGTGCCCCAGTGTGCGCGAGCTGCACGTGGAGCTGGGGGAAGTGTCTCAGCTGCTGGACACCTCCTCGCTCCAGTACGAGGAGGTTCTGTCCATTGTCCGCAGACACGTGGACGAGACCCTGGATTGGCTCTCCAACATGGCGTCCGAGTTCAGCTGGGTCTCCTGGTCGCAGCGCTCCAGCAACTTGAGCCTGCCGCAGAACATCTTCAGAGTCACCCTGGTAAGAAGAAAATATGGTACAAATAAAGGTCATGTTTGTATTTGTTATGTGGAGAAAGGTAGCAGATGCACGGTCAGAGACACAGAGTGGGCAGGTGTCATTGATTACAGCAGTGGAGGAACCGATTTATCTATTTAGGGGATCTGATATCGTTATGAGATCATCAGGTCAGGACCGGCAATCAGGATTCATTGATTCATGATTCGTACTGTACATGTGAAAATAGTTGTAAGAAAGAACCTTTGTGTGTCCATAAATACTATGTAAAGACACGGTGGTTGAGTGGATAGCACTCTCGCTGCTCTCCCCGTGTCTGGGTAGGTTTCCTCCAGGTGCTTCGGTTTTCCCCACCACTAAAAACATGCACAAAGTATGAACAGGTATGAATGTGAGTGAGTGAATGGATGGTGTTGAATGGATGGTGTTGGTTGGGGCTTTGGTGTGTTTTGCGTCTCGCTTCCGTCATCACCATGTGTGGAGAGAAATAAAAGATATCTCTAAATGCACTATATAAATAAGATGACTTACTTACTAAACTGATGCATTAATATAATAGTTTAAAGTGATACAAAGATTCCTATAATAACTACTCCCTAACCCTTTAATTATGTTTCCATTTTGTCAAGTCAGAACCCTAACCCTGACAATAGTAAGGAACATGGCCGTAGTCATAGTGACAAAATGCAATTCATATTAATAGAAATACATAACTACAATTAAAATAGTTATGCTAAAAATAAGGGAGAATAAATACATGTATAAAGATTTATATAAAATATACTAATACAAAATTAGAAAACAAATTACCAATAATTATACTAATAATACTGCTAATATTAATTTAAAAAAAATTTATACAAAAAATACAATTTAGATCAAATTCATACTACTAACACTAGTATTAATAATAACACTACAAATAATAATGAAAAATACAATTCAAAAAAATATTAAAATCATAAACCTTTAAAAAGTATAACATTGTCATAACACGTGTCCTCCTGCAGGTGACACCAGAGAGCCATGAGGAGAACCTCCCAGTGCAGGACATCAAAGTGCAGGTGAGCGTCCTGAACTCTGCCCCACTGCTGCTGTCTGTTCCCGGGGAGCTGCAGCTGCATGAGCCCGCCTTCATCCAGTACGTGACCCAAGAGGCACTGGACCACTACAAGGACAGCGTCAGGTACGGCTGCCACGCTGGGACAAAAAAGACGGATCTCATTGTCATAACTAATGCTCACTTCTTTGTCCTCAGATTTGAAGACGCGTAAAAACTTGCACCTCTGTATGAAGCATCTGGAGCACTTTACCGACAGATTCTGAATGTATTCTTTGCATCAGTGTGTAAAAGGCTGTAGAATATTAGATGTGTATTTATCAGAAGAGGAAACGAGCATGGGTAGGAAAGTCTGTGTCCCTTCGAACCGGCAACGGATAAAGCAGAAGAATGTGCAATGGAAAGATAGAAAACTTTTATTAGAAATTATGTTCAAAACTTGTTATCTAGAATGTGTTTTTTCCTGATGAGCAACGAGACGTTTATTGTTGATTTTGACGTTATAGTGTAACTTTTCAGCTAAAATGTAATATGTTCTCTACAACTGGTTCTCAACTGAGACAATGTCGGGACCCATATTAAACTGAATTTATAATATAATTAATCCAAACTACTGCATATTTTCACACATTGGATAAGAAGTTATGATGAAGAACACAGCAACTCTCTACAGATTCTGAAAAGAAGAAACCAGATCATTACAATCTTGTAAATTTGAGTTTGAGTCAATAAATCTGCCGCTGGCACAAAGTTTTAGATCTCATTTTGTTATTTTCCATGGATCTGTTAATTTATGTATACAAACTTGCACTGTGTACTTTCTAGATGACTCAATTTACAGTGTGGTAGATAAAAAAATAGGCCTCATGACCCACGAAATATTGACCCATCAGTAAAGAACCAACTGGTTTACATCAGATTCATTTGGCTGCTGGGTTGTATCTGAGCCTAATAATGAAATTGAACAGACATATTCCCAGTTTCATTATTTATACGTTGCATGTTCTTGTATAAATAGCGTAAACCAAATCATCTTCAAGTAAAACTTTTATTTTTTCTGTACAAAACTCATATTAGTTACGATTCTCAATATTTCCAACACCTATAGTTCCGAGTCCCCATTTTCTTTCAATCACATCTCACAATAAAATCAGAAAAATATAAAATAAAATATGTTCACATCGTTCTCCATTCTTTCAAAATCAACAAGTTAAGAAATCTCGTCACCTTCACTCATTCCCAGCTGGGCGCCTCCTATGGTCGTTTCTGAACTTGATTTTAAATGTAAAAAAATAGACCAGAGTTTGGTCACAGGATGCGAAATACAGAAAAGATCCCTCAGAAAAATCATCCATCATCTCAAAGGGGAGCGCCACAAAGCAAATGACTTTTTCCATAAAACTTGTCCCAGTAGCTTTGCAAAATGACATTAATATTTCCCGGCTTCAAATCTAACATGTTTCAGAGAAAAAGTTTGCAACACGTTTTGACTGTCTTTTGCACCGTTACATTACAGCTGTGTGCGTTAAAGGAGACATACTATGCACAATAAAGTGAGCTTTTAGCCAAGTTACAACATTCTTCCCTCATTAAAAACAGACCTGTAATGGTTTTAGATCCATCCATGCTGATATCGGGAACTTCTGTGTAAAAATTACGGCCTGTTTCGTAATAGTATGACGTCATTGTACCACTATGACATCACACTCAGAGCCGTTTTCTGCATTTTAAAAACAAAAAGTATTTCTCATGAATTAGTTTAGGTAGAATCTCGAGTGAATATCTCTATATCTATTTTTTTGGTTCTTTTGAAAAACAAGTTAGATGTGTTATTGTTGAAGACATCTAACTTGTCTTTCAAAAGAACCACAAAAAACAAAGTCAACCACTCCCTCTGGTGGTGGCAGAGAGAATTACAGGCAGATTTTTGTTAACCTTCATACTTGTTTCACCATGTATATTTTCTACCGATGAAACTATTTCTGATTCTAAAACATAAAATGGCAAAATGGATAGTCTTGTTATCTTTTTTTTAAAGCCCAATAATAATGCATAATATGTCTTCAGAGTTTCACAGTTGTTACATCAAAACATTGTCATAATAGTTTCTGCAGCTGTAAATTGTAGAGCTGAATGATTTTTTTTTTTTTTTTTATCCACTCATGAGATTTCACCTACAGCTGCAAATTCATTCATTTTTGAACAGTTGCATCCGTACGCTTTCTTTCGGTCATACATTTGACTCCATCTGTCACTTCACGTACTTGTACCGTTACGATTGGCTCCTTAAAATACTTTCTGACCAACCAAAGCGTCATATAAAAAATGTCATCCCCACGCTATAGCAATATAAAAACGCATCAGGGATTTTTTGTGTGTGTTAAAAATTGCAAAAAAAAATAAAAAAAATGCATTTGTTACTGCATGTTTGATTGTAAAATGGAATCACAGTGCCATGGCCAGGCTTTATAGCTTTTACGTATTCCCAGAGATTTGCAGAATGTACCGAGCACCGATCTGGATGTTTTGGATCCTCTCCCAAAAACGCCTGGTCCCTCGGTGCAGCAACGGGACAAGTCTGCGTTCCATTTTGTGATAAGTCTGAGCTTTTACCAGTGTCAACCCCAGACATTGGACTCGTCTGGAAGCCTGCGTTCTCGCTCGGGTCCTCCCCAGGCGCCGATCCTCTCGCCGGCTTGTTAGAGGTTGTCTCCGGGCTGGTATTGAGGTTCGGTGGCGGTGAAGTAGTCTTCCAAAAAGGACTGGATGTACTCGAACGTGGGCCTCTCGTCTGGCTCCTTCTTCCAGCACAGGTGCATCATCTCGTGCAGGGACTCGGGGCAGCCCTGGGGACACGGCATGCGGTACCCCCTCTCCACCTGCTCCAGCACCTCGCGGTTCACCATCCCTACAGAACACACACAAGTTTAGACTGTTGGCATCTTCTCTCAGACGATGTGGTTATTACGCTGGTGTTCCAACTCAAGAAAACTGGGATGGAAGTAAATGAGATTGAGATACCTTGCTAAAGCGCACAATGGAAGAATTTTTGTGATGGCCTTTTTAGATCCACCAGGGCACAATATCCACTTCTATTGTTGCAACGGCGACAAAAAAATATGCACTCAGACAGACCAATCAATATCGAGCGAGCATACATAGAAAAAACAAAACAAAACGTTTTTTGTTTTTTAAAGAATTAATCAAATCCCGATTTGATCTCAAACCTTTTTCTAAACATTGAAATCCAATCTACATATATAAATAGGTACTTTATTGGTCTATCCTTAAAGCTCATATCTGGATTTACAAAAATATCCAGATTTAATAGGCTCATATATTGATTTAAATGAACTAGAGATGTTTACTCTTCAATGCATGTCATAGTGGAACCAGAGAAAGTTGATGCAAAACTTCCCTTTCGGCTCGGGGGGTTAGTAATGTCTATTTATATACAGTCTTTGGCAATTAGTCAAGATCTAAAACACACAACAAAACAGTTTCAAATCCAACATGTGATGATTACACAGACCGACTTCCTCTCACTACATGTAATCTTTGAGGACAGCCCCAGCCAAAGCTCTACATGTGCAGGACCCTCGCACGCCATCTCAGGCCGCAACCCAGTCACGGTTTAACCCTTCGAAGCGGTCTGGCTCTGGCCCCAGGGACAGCTCTAAAGAGGTCGTCTGCCACTCTGCACGAGTCCCTGCATCTCGCGCTCGCTGACACTCGAGCAGAAATAGGCACATCGCCGTTCACGTTGGCAAGTGGCGGATGCTATGGTGTGATTTGAGACGTGCAAGTGTCAAACTAATGGAGGCACTGTCATATGCATCTGCCGTGGATAGACTTCTATGTATATGCTTTTTAAAATAGAACCAAATGACGTATTATTTCACTGCTTCTTATAGCACAGGCTTAAAATAGTGACACACAGCAGACTTGACTGTATATAGTGTCAATGCAAACTTTTGGTGTGATGCATATGCAGCGGTAAGAGCACTACGGAGAAGTTTCCAAGTGTATTTTGGAACAATTCTGTGGTTTTGAGCTAAATTAACTGGTTTCTATTTTGAAGCCGCTTTAATCGGTGTCGTGACATAGTATGAACGCAAAGCAGAACGATGATTCAGCAGCAACATTCTAAAAATTTGGAGAGAATTTGGACAAATATTTCTTGGTAATATTTTTTTAATATGTTGTTTGTTTGTCCCTCTGTTTCAGTGGAGGCCACGTCCTTTCGAGAAAACATCGTATAATTGATTCTATCATAAATATTAAACCCAAAAAACACAATAAAAAACGATAATTGGCGTATCAGTATGCAATAAAAAGCCTTTTGTATTTGAATATTTTGGTTTAATTCAAGGATGGACTTATTTTGTTCAGAAAAATTGAAAAACAAAAATACCCAAGGGATAGAGAACTACAAAAAAGGAAGCCTGCTGTATAAAGATTGCTGTATCGAAGGCAAGTTTTTTTGAATAGCACAAATCATATACACATGGCAACTCAAAATCCTGAACAAAACACAAGGGACAGTCACCCTTAAAATCACAAATAATCACAGTAAATTAAAAAGAGTGAAGATAAAAATCCCTCAGTTGTAAGCACAGCTAAGCAGAACTGTTTTTAACCTGGTTTTTAACATTGTCAGAGAAGACTGTTCCAGATTTGAGCTCCTATCCTGATTAGGGATGTAAATCGGCGACCGGTTAACCGGTGGTTGACCGTCACAGCGTTAACCGGTCAAAGCTGTCGGTTAAAAAAGAGAAAACGGGGAGAGGGGAGGTCTCTTAATAACGCTATTTTAAGCCCTATTTGCACGGTGTGACGAGCGGGTCTGTATCTAGCTGTATGCGCCCATGTATTATAAACTCCGGGACGACTCTCACGCCGCACGAGCCACATATGCACACACGCACGCGCGCACACACACACACACACACACACACACACACTTTCCCCCTCTCCATACGTAACATCCACACGCATCATCTCTCCCCTCTGTTACCGTCAAAGTTGCACACTGGCGCGGGTCAGAACTACATTGGAGCTTACATTTACACACACACACATATACATACACACATACATACACACACACATACATACACACACACATACACACACACATACCGGTCTGTCGCGCTCCTCTGTGTCACGGAGCCCAAAGAATTCGCGCAAATACGCGGCTTCAGTCAAACCACATGGAACATGTTTGTGTTTATGGTCCTCGGGATCAGCTCCACAACACATCACTTGTATTTAAACTTTTGTGAAGACCTGTGAGACGCGGCTCGTCACTCGCTGCTCTGACCATGTGAACGAGCCGTCGTTTGCTGCTAGAAAGTTTTGGTATTAACCCGCAGCACAGCAGAATGGGAAGATTAAAACAGCAGTTCTCTGTGCGCAAAGGTGCCGGAGCTGTTGCGGGTTTGGGCGCCGCTGTCTCAACTCTGATCCAGTAGAACGCAGAGCTGCACTTATGAAAAGTACGCGGCTCGAAATGGTTGTTATTTCAAAGAACATGGACTATTTTAAACTACGCGGTGAACCGGTTTCAACCGGTTAATGAGGCTCGGTGGTCGGTCATGAAAATTCATAGTTTTTTACATCCCTAATCCTGATGTAAAACTTCTGCTATACTTTGGCGCCTAAAGGGTGAAATTAAAATCCCCCCTAAAAAAACCCCCATGGTATCTCCCAATGACAAATTCAACTTCTTGGGGAGATACTTTCTTTTAGGACTAGCTATAAAAAGTCATGCAAATTCTCTGAGTCAGAGGATCCCAAGAAAAAAAACAGGGCCAGCCCACACAATTTGGGGCATTGGGGTGAATTAATTATACCGAAAGGAGGAGCACTAAAAACCAGGGGGGTCCGCAGCCAGATGGCCCACTGCTAGACGCTCTGGTTTAGAATGCCATATGGTGCGCTCTGTAATCAGTGCCACCATCAACGTCAGATGTGCTGCAGTGCCGTGTGCAGCCAGAGGGGGCAGCGGTGGGCGACTTGAGAAGGATGAAGTTGTTCCCACGGGTCGGGAAGTTGGGCAGCTGCTTTGACTCATATTGGCTATTTTAAACTGCACGTGTGAGAAGGAAATATATTTGGAGCAGGCTGAAAGAGCAGAGAGTTATTACGTTTGTTGGATCTCAGCCGGTTTCTTAAAGTAGTTTGCTCCAACTTTTGTCTAGTTCCATTTTTTTTTTAACACCATTTTCACACACTATATGGATTGAACTATCTATACATTTACTACCAAACATATTTAAGCAAATACCACTGTTTGGTAATGGAAGAATTTAAATAAAGCACGTCAATATGCAGTCTTAATAGAAATATATTTGTGTTACTTGTAAGAAAGAGCCTCACTTTTTTATATGTTGGGCTGAGAGCTGATTGGCTGAGTGAGAGTGGTCCTCTCTTCACAATTATATCTTATAAAGCGATCAAAAGATGTGACAGATGCCAAAAATACATGCACATGGAAACTAGTGATAGAACCGAACTGTTTCAAGATTTTGGAACGTGCATTTTTATTTTATTTTGGAAAGTTAGATATGTCAGCTTAAGCCCATGTGTAAAACCATTGGGTATTATGTTGGAAGGAAACCAAAACATCAAGGCCCAACAGTATTCCAAGCTTCCAGACAGGGTGAATAAATACACACACATACATATATATATATATATATATATATATATACATATATATATATATATATATATATATATATATATATACATATATATATATATATATATATATATATATATATATATATATATATATATATATATATATATATATATATATAATACATATATATATATATATATATATATATATATATATATATATATATATATATATATATATATATATATATATATATATATATATATTTTATCTCAAGAAGATCTCAAGAAGTCCTACCAATGGCTAGAAAGGGCTGGCCTACAGGACAGCACAGAGGCACTCATCATGGCTGCACAGGAACAGGCACTGAGCACCAGAGCGATAGAGGCCCAGATATACCACACCAGACAAGACCCAAGGTGTCGGTTGTGCAAAGAGGCACCTGAGACGATCCAACACATAACTGCAGGGTGCAAGATGCTGGCAGGGAAGGCCTACATGGAACGCCATAACCAAGTGGCTGGCATAGTGTACAGAAACATCTGTGGAGAGTATGGGCTGGAAACCCCAAGGTCTAAGTGGGAAACTCCTCCAAAGGTGGTGGAAAATGAGCGTGCGAAGATCCTGTGGGACTTCCAGATACAGACCGACCGAATGGTAATGGCAAACCAACCTGACATCGTGGTGGTAGACAAAGGGCAGAGGACAGCCGTGGTGGTGGACGTGGCAATTCCAAGCGATGGTAACATACGGAAAAAAGAACATGAAAAGCTTGAGAAATACCAAGGTCTCAGAGAGGAGCTGGAGAGGGCCTGGAGGGTAAAGGTGACAGTAGTGCCCGTGGTGATCGGTGCACTCGGGGCAGTGACCCCGAAGCTAGATGAGTGGTTACAGCGGATCCCCGGAACAACCTCGGACATCTCGGTCCAGAAATGTGCAGTGCTAGGAACAGCAAAGATACTGCGCAGAACCCTCAAGCTCCCTGGCCTCTGGTAGAGGACCCGAGCTTAGAGAGGGATAACCGCCCGCGGAGGGCCAAAGGTGAGTGGACAATTTTTTTATATATATATATATACAGTATATAAATAAAAACATTCTTTTCACATAGTTTTGTATAGTCCTAAATCACAAGAGCAGTCATCGCAGAGGACTTTATGAAGTAATTCATGTTATTAAAGTCAAAAATTTAAAGCGGTTTGGTCTTTGGGACAATTCTTCTAAATTGTAACCCCATTCATAACGAAATTAAATGGTTTATCTGTAAACAAAGCCACGATGCAATACAAATGTTTTTGTCCCCGTGTCATACTTGACCTCAAATTTGAAGAGAAACAAAATAATCAGATAAAACATTAACAATTTACTCACGGGTAAAAAGTCAATAATTGCAACAACAAACATTTGACCAGTTGTAACATTCAATTTAAATGTTGAGCTTACTAAGTTGTTTATAATCTAAATAACTACCAACATGTTTCAGTTGTAAACAAAAGTAATTTGAGCTCTGTGTGTGTGACACAGGGTGCACCAGAACAAGACTGTTAAAATCAAAGCCTTGTGTGTGCATGAGTGTGAGTAGTTACCTGGATACGGTACTCTGCCCTTGGTAACCAGCTCCGTCAGTAGAATCCCGAACGACCACACGTCTGATTTGATGGTGAAGCGTCCGTACAGAGCCGCTTCAGGAGCTGTCCACTTAATGGGGAATTTTGCCCCTGGAAAAAACGCATGGAACAAGAGACAAGTCACTCAGACGTTATATTTACCGTTATCAATCAAACTTGTGTCATGTATTAAACAACACATACAAGCCTGGATAATTTAAGGAATTTTTGAACTAGTTTACAGAATGTCATAAGAAAAACAAAACAATTTAGGTCACATTAAAGGACAGGCATATTATGATTCTTTGCTGGTAAATACAAACATTAGCTGATTTTGCGAACCACGCGCATGCATATCCCTGTGTCCATTTCCTGTAATTACTTGAATCTGCTGTTAAAAAAGGCCCCTCCTTTTGACGCATATTTTCTGTCATATTAATGAGAAGTTATGTAACCAAAAGCTAATGGCTGGTTATGGTAATAAATCATAGAGAGAGAGCGAGAGAGAGAGATAGAGAGAGAGAGAGGCCAAGACAGAGAGAGACAGAGAGAGAGGCAGAGAAGGGTCAAGACAAAGAAGGAGAGAGAGGCCGAAAGAGCAAGGCCGAGAGACAGAGACAGAGACTCAGAGACCGAGAGAGAGAGAGGCCAAGACAAAGACTGAGAGAGACCGAGACGGAGAAACCGAGACGGAGAGACCGAGACAGAGAGAGAGATACAGGTCAAGACAAAGAGAGAGAGACAGAGAGAGAAACCGTAAGCGAGGCCGAGAGACAGAGACTGAGAGACCGAGAGCCAGACATATTCAGTACACACTGTACACACACACACTTATTGTAGTTTATTGTTCTCACCTTGGCGGGCCGTGTACTCGTTGTCCTCGATGAGGCGTGCGAGGCCGAAGTCTGCAATCTTACACACCAGGTTATCAGCCACCAGGATGTTGGCCGCTCTCAGGTCCCTGTGGATGTAGTTCATCCTCTCGATGAACGCCATGCCGTCTGCGATCTGTGCGCAGGGACCAGACGGGTCGATTAGCACATGCAAATACAGCGCGTTTAACCGCTCCACAGCATTTAGTTTAATTCCCACAAATGAGTTGTAAAATATTGGCAATAATACCACTTATTCAATATTCTTATAGCGTTGTCAAATTTCCTTACACTTTACAGGCAAAACCTTCTTCGTCTTCAAACTGTTTGCCTTTTGTATGTGTTTTAATTTGTTGACTGTTGGTTTTATAAGTTGTCAATGTGAAGCACTTTGGGTTACATTCTGTATGAACCGTGCTCTAGGAATACATTTTGATGAATTTAAATGAATGAACGATGCATTTTTTAACACAAACGGCCGAGGCTGCCAAACCAGTCCCTTTATTATAGCAGGGAAATTGTTTGAAGAACTCTTACAATATTACCATAGCATTATAGCAGAGCATTCAATATCACAATATTTTGTAAACCAACAAAAAGTGTAGAAGACGTTATCAAAGTTAGCTTATGTTCAAAAGCTGCATATTGTTAGTAACAGACATACATTATTTACTCTTAAAGTCTTTCCCCACTTTTTAGCCTTTCCCGCAAAAGTCAGATCTCAGAAGCTTATCACTGTATGAAGGGCGACCTCTGTAATATCAGCTGCTACCGTTACTGTGTCCCTTAGCCAGACACTTCACCCATAAGTATGAATCTGCACGTGAGTGTGTCTGAATAGTTCAATAGTTGACAGCCTACCAAACAAATTATGGAAAGAAAAATGCCTTTTAAAGTACTTTTTATACTTGCTCCTTATGATGCTAAAGTCAGAGGTTTTTGTACGTAAGTCTTGCTTCTTCATCATGCTAAAGTTGGAGATTTTTACGACTTCTTTCCTCATAATGCTAAAGATATAGACTTCATACTGCTTCTTTTTATACTAGAGTTAAAGATTTCAACTTAAGTATAGAGTTATTATTTATTATTCTTGTGCTGTGTGCACCTCATTCCTACTGTTCTGTGACATGTGATGTAACACTGAATTTTCCCCACAGTGATCACAGTTTTGCAGGACAGAACACTTCTTGTATAAATAACCGGGTTTCGTTCCTTGCGAGTGGGACCTTCCAGCGCTTACGGCGAGAACAAAGCTGCGTATATCTTTAGCAGCAGCTCGAACGGCTCCCTCTGAGGCGTGTGTCATTTTCACAACTGTCTAAAGTCTGAACACGTCTCCGCTCGACCGGTTAAGTCTAGCAGAGATCCAGGGGCTGTGAGCAGGCAAATTATCAAGTGCAAAGTGCAGAGTTAACCTGTGATTTTAAAGAGAGACGAGAGGCTGGTAAGTGCTACGGGCTGTTAAGTGGTGGACTAGAGAGCGCACGCAAGGAAGGGGACGGACTAAATCAAAGCTGAAGGTTGCGTGTTGGCGAATATATAATATGACAACTAGACGGAGCAGAACTCTAAAGGATTTCTACCGAGGGGTGCGAAGCGTTTGACTCATTCCCTCCCACACAGGAAGCCGAGACGGGAGGCGGCGGTGTTTTGCTCGTGTTGGTTTGAAAAGAGGCCAGACAGGTGAAGGGCAGAGGGAGCAGTTTGTTTAGACAGAGATAAAAGTTTGGATGTGTGAACTTACCTGAGCGGCCATATCCACCAACTGGGGCAGCTTAAGATATTTGCCATCTCCCTCCTTCAGAAAGTCCAATAAACTGCCTGAGAAAGTGAAAAAGAAAGGCAATAAGGCAATGTCCGTATAGTTTTAGTATGGCCTGGAGTAGAAGGCGATGAAAAAACGGACTGAAAAAACAAGTATTGTGCGTTCTCGGCCTTGATCTAAAAGGGATGCAATGTTTTCTTCTATGTGAAAGTTTTAAGCTTAGTTACATGGGATTTCCTTCAAATGTTGGGCAATTGCATGTAGCTGCTCATATGAGAGATGATTATCAGACTATATACAATATAAATCCATGTTTTAAAATAAAATATCTTAAAAAAAAATGGAAAATGTTGTATACTGTGAAACAAGTATAAAAGGGTAAATCTATTGACCTGCCCTATCCCTATTCTACCACCAGAAGGAGGAGTTGTTTATTTGTCTCCACAGCTTCACTTTACACTTGAGAAATTGCAAATGCATGGGCAATACAGTTGTTTTAAAAGGCAGAAAAAAGGTCATCGTGATACAATGACATCATACTATGACAGGAGGCAGAAGGTTTTAGCCAGAAGAGGCGGAGCTACAGATTTGAGCCAGATCTAAAAACAGCTCTGATGAAGGAACATTAATGTAAAAGGCTAAAAAGTACATTTTTGCGTTCAACAAGTGACATATATAAACATACAGGTTACTTCTTGCAATCAAAAAAGGAGACTGCTTTAAATGTAATGTATTGTTATCTGAAATCAGCAGCTTCCATGTTAAGTAATCATGCAATGAAGTGGAAGGGGATTATAAATGTGTTTTACTTCTGCCTACTCCTTTTGAGCAGCACTTGCACAAACATTGATATATTTTTTCTGTATGCGTTGCTCTGAGGTCCAATAAAAAATCTCAACTGAACTTCTGAATAGAGACTTCTTTTATGAGCTCTAAAATAGACTTTCTATAATATAATAAGAGCTTATTCAAACATTTCTTTCTTATTGGGAGAAACAGTTGGGTCCAGAGTGAGACTGTACTGACGCAGCTGTGACACATAGCTCTCTGACAGACTGGCTGAACTTGTTAAGAGTGGTATTGCAAGCTATCATTCAATTCGGAGTGGAAAAGCATAATTAAAATGGGATACCAGATGAGATGATTCATACGATTGAAGCCGTCAGTTAGACACGATGAGAGGTATTACACAGTGTTGCAACATTAACTTATCATGAGCAACGTTTTAAATAATTGGCTTTTTGTGTAGTGCGATACCTCTTGCTGTCACAACATGCCAGCGGGGCGTGTATTTAAAGTCGAGTTTCAACACTGATTGCTTCTCCTAACTGCGGAGGGTTCAAGTAAATGTGTTTTTTTGGTTCACTTTACCTTTGCCCATGAACTCTGTGACGATGTAGATAGGTTCTTCTGACACCACAGCGTAGAGAGGCACCAGTTTGTCGTGGCGAAGCTTTTTCATGATCTGAGCCTCCTGCAGAAAGGCCTCAGGAGACATGGTGCCTGGCTTCAGCGTTTTGATGGCTACTTTGGTCGTGCCGTTCCAGGTGCCTAAACGAACACGACACAACATCAATTGGGAGCTGCATACAAAACACTCGATAGCTAAACGCACAGAAGGGCAAGTGCAGTTAAGAGAGATTGGGTTTTAACACAGAGCTGGACAAAGCGTGCCCTGGGTGCCAGATCCGGCCCAATTCACATTTCATTGCGCACCCTGGACCCTTTTCAGCAGTTAACCTCAAACCGGTCTGTCACTTACATTTATCAGGAGTCAATACCCAATGAAGGCTTGGGACTTTAAATGTATTGCACGTGGTAGCACATACTTTCTGCTCTAATAAATGAGCCCAACATTATATATGTAATAATCTGCTCAAAACAAGATCTCCAAAAACACAAAAGAAAACGCTGGATATCTAACAAGTTTGTTTTCCATAAAAATAAAATTAAAAATGAACTACCGGTTCATGAAAACGAATCCAGCCCTTCAAAGAAGTTATCCCAATGTGGGTCCCAAAGGAAAATAATTGCTAACATCTGCCAAACTTACTCTAACCCATCACTAGCTTCCAAACTGATGTATTTTTGGCCTTTGTCACATCTTTAGATCAGCCTTGTTCAGATAGAAAAGTGAAAGATGCTGATCCAAAGAAGCGACAGACAGAAATGTGAAAAAGAGAGCACAACCTTCCAGCATCATCAAAATGGTGACTCACAGGGCAAAAGTTATTTAAAAGAGAACGGGGATGAAGAGGGCATGCCGTGATCGGATTTGTTCACAATTTCTCGGTCAAAAGTTCAAGTATTTCTGCAATTCAAATGTGAAATCAATATATGGTATAGACGTATAACCTGTAAAGTGCATATGTGAAGCCTCTGTTTGTTATAATGTGACGATTATGGCTCTGTTATGTTTTATTTCGTTTTTTTCACAAACTGAGTCATTTATGAACATTACAATAGAAAAGGCTTCTATTTTGAATTACGGTGGACTTTTGAACAATGTTATACATTTTCAGAGTTTTGACGGTATGTTTAAGAAAATAGAGGTACCCCAGCTTTATGTGTATATTTAGAATCAAGCAAAGCTATAGATGGGGCAGGGGCAGCAGTCCGAGCAGAGATGCCAAGACTTTTAAATACACATTAAACATTCTTAAATGATTCCACTCATTCTGCTGTGGTTGTGTTTCTTACAACTTAAGTGAATGCTCGTTTTAAAACTGTGATGAGAGAGTGAAACTTTTTGAAACACACCCAGGCTCTCCTGTTTTCTGAATGGTCAAAAATTGTAATCCTTGAGTCTCCTCGTCATTGGTTTTAAATATATTATTGCTGAAAAATAGTACAGTACAAGAACACAGTGCCCCATTGTGAGAAATATGCATTGTTTACAAAAAAATGTATTTAAGTAGCTGGGAGCATATTCAAATAACTTGGTGTTGAGTTTTCTCATTAGAATTGAAATTGAGTTGGAAATGATAGTATCCTGCAAACACTAACTTGAATGTTTACTGCTGCTTAGTTTCAAACAACATTTCCTTTGTCTGATCAGGTTAACAGGACAATTAGCGTCACACTGACCGCACACGAGCGTGAGGAGGTGCAGTACAAAACAAATGGAGTCGTTTGCAGCATGTGAAGAAGCGGAGCACTTGACTGTTGGGATAATGGGTGACTTCCTGGTTCAAAGCCTCTTACTCACGCCCTGCTTACATACAGAGCGCTGAGGCAGGAGGTCGACCACCACTGTCAAAGAGATCTCTGTCTGCGCATCGGCCCCGAACAAACTGCCTTAGACAAACAGGAAGAACCACTGCACTGCCGCTGTGCTCTGCGGGGCCCAACGTGAGGACATGAGACAACATAGGGACGAACGCTACAGGGACGTACGCTACAGCAGGGGTGTCGATCTCATTTTCGTTGAGGGCCAAATACAAAATTTAAGTGCTGGTTGGGGGCCAAACATACCTTTGATTCTAAATATTTGTTTATATTTTGAAAGTATTTTGATAAATTACACATTTGTTACATTGGATTTTCTTTTTTGATAGTTCAGTTTTAGTGAATTGAACCAAAACTGGATCAAATATTAAGAAGAGATGTAATAGAAGACCCATAGGCGATAAAAAAGAAAATGTACATTACAACTTCTAATAACATTAACATTTCAGAATAAATTAAATAATTTGATTGTTTTCCGGTAAAAAACAAAAAAACAAATGGATTTAAAAAGACTTACAACATGCCATTGTAGCCCTATTGTCACGGTGTGGATTTTGTTATTTTGTACTTTGGTTTTATTTTGACATTTTTTCTCTGTGGTTTGGTTTTGAGTTTGACTTCTGTGCTGTTTCCCCTGTCTTGATTGTCTGCCCCGCCCTGATGTGTTTCACCTGTGTCCCTGTCTATAATTACCCTGTGCCCCTCTCCACATGTTGCTGGTCCATTGTTATGTCAATGTCCTGTTTCGTCATGTCAAGTTCTGTCTTTGTTCCTGGTTCTGTATTCTTGGATTTTGAGTTTAGTTTTCACCTGGACTTTTATTTTATTAAATCATTATTTTTTGCATTCCTGCATTTGAGTCCTCCATCATCCCACCCCGTGACAGAATGGACCAGCCACAAAAGGACTCAGCGGAATGCCCTTTTTCCACACCTGCTCCCAGTTTGTCATCCCATTCATCAGGTTTTTATTTTATTTTCGCCTCATCACCGCTGACCTCTCAACCTGTTTCTGGAACCACCGCCAGACATCAACCTTCGTCTGGGGTGGTCTTGTCCCTTTGTACCACCGCCGGGTATTCGTCTCCGTCCGGGGTGGTCTTCTGTCCCCCCCCCCTGACATGTTGAGAGGTCTACAGTGACGCTCTGGCCTGGATGGTGCTGTCTGTCTGGATTTTCTACCCATTTTGGCTGCTACCCAATGATGACCTCTCCTTCCCTTCACCCGTTGCCACCGCCAGACATGGATCTCCGTCTGGGGTGGTTCTGATCCTGTTGCTGCGTCACCGCCGGACATTCGTCTTCGTTCGGGGTGAGCCAGACCTTTTGTGGAAGGTCATCACTGGGTTCTAGTTCCTGCCCTCGATTCTGTCCATCGAACATTGCCTCTGGTCTGTGGTTGTTCCTACCTCTGGACTGCCCCCTCCACCCTCCCTGGCTCGTGTTTATTTTCTGGGGACATCTGGGAGCTGTCCCTTGGAGGGGGGGTACTGTCATGGTGTGGATTTTGTTATTTTGTACTTTGGTTTTATTTTGACATTTTTTCTCTGTGGTTTGGTTTTGAGTTTGACTTCTGTGCTGTTTCCCCTGTCTTGATTGTCTGCCCCGCCCTGATGTGTTTCACCTGTGTCCCTGTCTATAATTACCCTGTGCCCCTCTCCACATGTTGCTGGTCCATTGTTATGTCAATGTCCTGTTTCGTCATGTCAAGTTCTGTCTTTGTTCCTGGTTCTGTATTCTTGGATTTTGAGTTTAGTTTTCACCTGGACTTTTATTTTATTAAATCATTATTTTTTGCATTCCTGCATTTGAGTCCTCCATCATCCCACCCCGTGACACCTATACCATCAATGCTCCAACACAATATAATCTTTTAAAATAATTTCAGGGGCCACTGAAAATGGTCTTGAGGGCCGAATTTGCCTGCTGAAGGCACTGTACACGGTTCTGTTCTTCATCAGTTGTTTTGACATGTTTTGACACAGTTTCTAAAAACATTCAAGTTGGTCACATTATTGCTAATTTCACATCAGAGAACCAGTCTTGGTTCTCTGATGTGGTTACAGAAAACAAAAAGACTTCCTGTGACCCATTTAACGAAACATGAAGCTGGTGTAACCAACCTTCAATTTATAAAAAAAGTGATGATGTAAAACCCATCTAACTCACTTAATCTGAGTACAGATGCAACCCACATGCTGGGGTTTAGTTAGAGACAGTACAAACTTTGCATTAGGTGTGATTACTTATTTCTGTTTATAGTTTAATTTTTTTTAAAGCTATTTGTTGTAAATTTGTTCAAAGCCTCATTCTCCAGATTGTCCAATCATAAATATTATGTACAAGCAGAGTTTGTGGCAGTAAAGTGTGGATTTAAAGAAAACTGAAGGATTTAAGAAGAAAAAAAGTTCAGGATGACAAGGGACACTAAAATCCCCACAAAATCCGATCTTTATGAAAGCTGTAGGTTCTCTGAGGTCGAGCTGTTTTAGTTTACATGGAGTTCTATGAGACTTTTTTCTGGGTAGCCCTCGTGAATTTAGGCCCCGTCTACACGTAGCAGGGTATCTCACAAACCGAAGATATTTTCCTACGATCTGGCCTATCATCCACACAAACCCGGAGTTTTCTGTCGATAAAAACGAAGGTTTCTGAAAACTCCGGCCAAAGTGAAGATTTGGGAATTCTCCGGTTATGCGTTTGAGTGTGGACATAAATAACCGGAGTATTCGGCTGTACGTCACTACCAGCGTGCTGCTCTGACGTCACACGCGCGACCTGTGTTTACATCAGAAACAACATGGAGGCCATCAAAACCGCTTTTGTTTTAACGATTGTTCAGGCACTTTTTGCTTGCTTGTTTTTACAAGCTCAAATACTGCTTCATGTTGAAGAGCACAGACGAAGGAGCACTTTAAGGTCGGCTATTTTCCGCCAAATAACCATCCCTCGTCCAAGACATGTTCCTCGTCAAAGACGGCAACGGCAATTTTGGGTCAGACCGGGACGCACTGCCAGCTGGTGGGAGAACTTTGAGATGGAAGTCGTCCTCCCGGAGGAAGGTAGGTTTGTAGGTTTGAAATGTAATTGACAACGCATGTATGCGGTTAGGTGTGGATGCCGTTTTTTAAAAAACCGAGGCTGTGTGGACAGAAGTTTTTTTTTAGGCGGAGGGCGGATTTATAAATGCCCTGCTACGTGTAGACAGGGCCTTAGTCTGCAGTACCACGGGCCTCCTGTGCCCATGGGTGGGACAGCTGTAAGCTAGTAATACCTTATCCAGTTTTTATTATATAGATCCATGATTACATACTGTTCCTTTTCTTGTAAAAAAAACAAAAAAACAGTAAATTATTCTAGATCACAAAACAAAGCACATCTGTCCTTGAGAATTATATAGTGAACTAAAGTTATTTTAGGTCAGACACTTATAAAAGGAAGCTCACTTTCGAGGAGAAGATGTAATTACTAATGTCCAAATGCTTATCCAACTACAATCTATAGTATGAGATAAAACTAGAGCCCTGTGCTAAAGTACGCGGTGAAATTTCAAAAGCAGCAACAACGCATCAACTTTTTTTTTCTTCCACGCTCAACTTTCACAAACTCTGCATGCAATCTTTGACATTTTACCGTCACATTCAAAACCATGCTACTCCTGACAGCACCGGCCTCAAAAGCATTACAGCCGGCGTGGAAGGAGAGTCACTGATAGAGACCAGAGAGAGAGAGACAAGACTACGACGAACAAACGGTTTTGGGGAGAGGCAGAGAGAGGATTCCTGGGATTGCATGGTTCAGCCTGGCAGGTCTGAGCTCGCTACCGGCTTAATGAAAAGGCAGCGGTTTCAAGGCCCCTCCCCTCTCCCCTAACTCCCCCACCCCTTCCCCTCACTCGCAGAGGAAGCGGGTGCGTGGGCGGTGACCTGTCATTACAACGCTCGGGTCGGTGCGCACTGATCTGCGCTATGTGGGCCGGCGTGATTTAAAGATGGAGCTTGAGTGAGGTCATCTATGCTTGTTAAATGCTGTTGAAAGGGGGAGGCATGGACTTTTACCCTGACTCCGTGGGTAAAAGTCAGTGCCCCCACATTTAACAGCATTGTGCATGTATTTTTAATAAGGGCTATTGTTGTCATACATTACATACACACTTGTACTGCTGTTTTGACTGTTTCAGAAGTGATGACTGGTTAAATATTCTATGGAGTGCTTTATGGAGACCAAAGCCCCTTGTTGCTAATGTCAAACAACTACCACTAAAGAGAATTCAGGCTATAATTGTACAGTATATTCTTTGAAATGGATGAATGGCTAAATCTGGCGAATCTGACGAATCTGACTTTCAAATCCACAAAATAGGAACAAGGCAATGCAAAAATAACAAAACTCGTGCCTCACTCTCAAAACTGTTTGGTTCAACCTCAGCTTTTCACACATCTTTAAAATCAGGTTTTTCAGGACAGAAAAGAGAACGAGAGCGGACCACCCTCACTCGGCCAATCAGCGCACCGCCCAATGTGTCAAATAGTGACTTACAAGGCTCATTCTTACACAAAGCTAAACGTTACAATGTTCTCTAATGAGATTAAAACAGAAAACAGTGGTCTGACTTGTTTATAACACATGAACAAAAGTTAGGGACCCCAGCTTTAAATCACGCTAAGATAGTGGTATAACTTACATAGTTTTTTGATGTACTTCTAAACTATTGTAATTTCCTCTCTGTTGGACTAATGAATGTTTCTCCAACTGTGGTACTGCAGAAAACGTTTGTGATGTTTAAATGTTTAGTTGGAATAGAAACAGTAACAATAACAATGCAAAACTTATAACATCAAACTTCTGTATTTAGACAATGCACTCCACACTGCTTACCGTGTGTGGCAAACCACGAAAGCAAACATCATTTTGGTCACAATTGCAATCTCCAATGTGGCCGGCGTGCGGTTTCATAAATAGACATTTAAAAACCCAAATAAGAAATAGAATACGCTAGATTTACCGATGATGAAAGCATTCGCAGAGAGCGTTTGGCCGTTCTGTGGTTCATGAATAGGTCTTTTAGGAGAAACGCTGAATCGATTGTTTGTAGGTGATATAAATGCAAGCCACGTACCCATCCAGACTTCCCCGAAACAGCCCTGTCCCAGTTTGACCTCCAGGCGCAGGGACTCGCGGGGGATCTCCCAGGCGTCTTTAGCCAAACCCTGAGTCTGGGGCTTCACTGTGGGGCACACGGTGGTCAGGCGGTAACACAGGCCGTCGGCGTGCTCTGTGGAGGAAGAGAGAGAGTGAGGAAGACTGGACATCACTGGAGTCAGATTTGGATTTGTTTGGATCACATGTATTCTGTTTGGATCACATTTATTCGTCTACAACTGTGCCAAAGTTGTAGATTTTATACTTGCTTCTTCATTATTCTAAAGTTAGTGAGTAAGCATCTGTATCCTTATAGTGTCACAGGCCAGTCACAAAGTGCAGATCTGATTTTATTACAAGGTTATTGTTCATTTCTCTGGTGTTGTGTGCTCCTCAATCCTACGTTTCAATGTTGTTATGCAATACTGAAATTTCCCCACTGTGGGATGAATAAAGGATCTCTGAATCTAAACATTCAGAGCGCAGCAGGAATGATCATTTGTGTGGTAACAATAACATCACAAGGATTAAAGCTGGTGGACATGACTTTTAAACCCCAGTAAAGATAACTGTATAATACATTCCATAACTAGTTCCTCGCCTTCAACTCAGTTTGATTTTATATATATATACACATTATATATCATTTTTACATGCATGTTATTTTTTGGCCTTTGACACAGCTTTAGATCAGCTATTTCAGGTAGAAAGTGAAAAAGAGAGGACGACCCCTACTCAAAGTGTCAAATAGTGACTCACAAGAGCCAGGACTCTTTTTCTCATTTTTTCTAATACATTAAACATTTAAAAGACTTTTTGTTGGAACAAAGAGTATGTAGTATTTATGATAACACAAAGTTAAGTATGCCAGCTTTAAATACATTTTTGAGACCTAAGAACTATACGACAAAATCACAACATCAAAATGTCACAAGATTACCAGGTCGTGTTTATTTGTATAGTGCAGCCTCGAGTCACATATTTCTACAATAATTTGGTTAAACATATGTTTCAAAACAATCATGAATCTGTTTATGAGAAGATGTCTGGTGCAGGTCTCACTCAGGGGCCAAGATTCCAGCAGGAAAAGGCCCAGGTACGTAAACTAATGTTCATCGTTCGTTGCCTTGAAATCTATACGGACAAGAATGTGCTGCTGGGCCTACTGCATATGCAATATTCTGTGTTCTATGGTCATGTCATGAATATTCAAGGTCAGGCTAAAGTTCACCATGAATAATCAGCTCTGGAATATGGACGTCTTCAAGAACAACAAACTGTGCGTCTTTGATATCAATCTTTAGGATTATATTGTTGTACTGTGTATACATTTAGCCGGCTCAAATAACATCCATTGTTGATCCTACAAGCTCCCACATGCATTGGGTATGGGCTATTTATAACTCAAGGTCACCTCACATCACAAAAGTACATTTAGTATAGTAAAATAAAAGTAAAAATACTGTGGAAGATAAGAGATCCTTTTTGTGTGTGTATACTTTTACTTTTCTTCTTTCTCACTTTTCTTTTTACTGAAAAAAGGTGAACTTTGGCTGAAGATAAGACATAAACCGAAAGCCATGCATGTGAAAACTAGTGACAGAGGCACGATGTTTTGAGAGCGAGGAAGTAGATGGATTTGATTTCATTGTTGTTTTTAGTGGTTGCAAAGTAGGGAACTCCAGATTTAACAACTCAAGAGGATTACAATGTCCCAAAACATCCCCCGTAAAACCATGAGGAGTTTCAGACGCTTTTACAATGTGCCATCTTCATTAAATGAGTAACGACAAACTCACTAATACATTTTACTTAACAATAAACCATATGGATAAACACAGGACACCAGTGACATTTTGATGCTATAATCCAGATTAACTAAACCCTCAGGGCATGTGTTCTACTCATTTCACTTATAAACTGTGGGCTGAATACTTCGACACGTCCCCCTGCTCCACATCACAGTACAGTTATAGCAGATCAGAATTTTGGCCGTAATACGAGCTATTTAAAAAAATTATAATTCTGTTCATGGGGCTATATTAAATATGAGGGTTGGGCATTTAAAAAAATAAAATAAACTCAACTCAAACACTTTTAAGATATCCGTTATTCGCCCCACAGTGGAGAAAACATCAGGTGAGACAGTGACAGTTTGATGTGATAATCCAGATTAACTAAAACGCACCCGAGTCCCATTCATTCAATAAAATCCCAAACTGTGAGTTAAATATTCTGAACCCCTCCCCCCGCGCTCCACATCCCAGTACAGTTAGAGCAGATCAAACTTTTTGGCTCAGCGTCACATGGTTTGTATTTGGGGATTTCTGCCATGTCCGCTGATCCCTGACTGCGCACTGCTTGAACGGCCATCACAAAAATCCTCTGTTAAACATATTCAATGCATTCCCCGCCGCAGGAGCACAGCTGAATAATGCATTTCCTTTGCGAGCAGCGAGCACGTTGGCTGAAATACCAAGTAGCCGTCCACAGTGGCTGATGTACGAATGTGTGGGAAAGCAAAGGATTAACGGATTATTGCAATATAGAAAACTAAGTACATTGAGAAACTTTTGGAATCATATACAAAGCAGATTGGATCATACATGTGCTTGCTGTTTATAGGTTTACAAATTATGTTACAATATTTGGATTGCCTGAAGACTGTGTTGGTAGAGGATCATTGCCGTAACTGAAAAAGACAGCATAAAATAACTATTTTCTCACAATTCACTTTTGTTGGTCAATACAATAAAGTCTTATTAAAGTTGGGGTACCTCAATTTGTTTTTCCTTCCCAAAAAAATACATGTTCTTGTACCAACTACAAACTGAAAGAGTCTTTAAAGCCACCCTGTGTAATTTTTGAAAAAACATGTTTTTTAAGAATATTTACCTCCACCAGGTTTTTTGAATATTATTCATAGGCTTAGAATTTAACTTATAAGTGTCCATGAGAGAGGAGTGCTCTCCGTGTAAATGCGCCATCTTGAAAAACGGTGGTGGATAAGGGACAAAAAGGATGCGAGAATCGCGTTTTCGTTTCACATGAGCTACTGATATTGTTGCTTTTACTGTGCCTACACAAGTTGGAAGAAGGAACCATGGAGGACCACAGTTATGTAAAAGAACCATGGAGGACCACAGTTATGTAAAAGAACCATGGAGGACCACAGTTATGTAAAAGAACAATCCGAACAACAATTTTTTTATGCAGAAGTCCAGTGTCATAGCAGAAAAGTGTCAACATCGCAAACCACACGCACAAAGACAGCATGAGGCACATTGTGTAGTTTGTACACAACAGACACACGTGAACAATACGTAACATTTTACACACTGACAATAATGAGAACGAGGCAGAATCTGCAACACAGTCTCAGGATGTTCTGACCCGATCCGAGCGCAACCAACTACTGCCACAAGTTTCAACTAAACTTATTCAGGGACAAAGCCTCAAATAAAACACACAGAATCCCCACAAAACAATCGCCAGAATACTTTATCAGCAGCGTGAGTGAATGTTCTGTTTTTCTTACCTGGTGATGCAGATAGGGCGCTGTGGCTAACGCTAATGCTAACATGAGCTTTGCCATGTCCTGCCGCGGCTGTGTATATCTCCTGCTTCTTTGATCACCACAGTTTTAACCTCACACAGACTTTATTCCTCCATGTGTCTCTTCTCTTCACACCGCGTTTGTAACACTATTATATTATGATATCATATATATTATGAAAATTACACAGTGTCCCTTTAAGATGTTGTCTTTTGCCTACTTGGGCTGAGAGCTGATTGGCCGTGTGAGTGAGTTCATTTTTCCTGAAAAACATTGAAATTCTAAAAAAAAAAAAAAAAAAGTCAAATAATCTAAAAATCTAAAAACTTAGTGAAAGTGAGGAACAAATGAGTTGGCTTATATTGTATGTGGATTGAAAGTTACGTACCCCAGCTTTAAATATTTTAGTCATAAAGTAAATGATTTAGTGTAAGTAAATAAAAACCATTTCACATAAAAAGCTTAAAGCATAAAGTGATAAAGTGTGATTTGAATGCCTTGTTTGATCGTTTCCATCTTGTTTCATTAAGCACTTTGACTTGCCTTGCGTTTGAACTGTGCTATACAAAAACACTTGCCTGGTCTAAATAAAAAAAAATAAAATAAATAATGAACTGAAAAAAGTTTTGAACAAGACACCAACACAGATGTACAAATAACATGACGTTTGACCCATCGCACCTATTGTTGTAATTGCTATTCAAATGTGGTTAATGTGCCCTTTCTGTGGTGACGTCGAAATAACACGTCTTCAACGCAGACGCCATGTTCGGTCTGTAAACATTCATTTTCTCCGGCTCCTCCTGTGGCCTCTGTGCACCATGGTGTGTTTGCAGCTGTTGTGGAGCTGAATACCTGTGTAGTGTTTCACCAGCTTCTGTAAGGCCTCGAACTGCGCCCGCGTGGTGATGTAGTAGCCTCCGCTGTCCAGCTTTCGGATCTTGTAATGTTTGACGTTGTCGCCTTTTATCTCGTCCCAGTCGCGAATTGACAAAGAGTAGGCACCTGTGAGAGAAAGAACGGTCACTCGAGGTGTATAACAAAATGTAGTTGATTGTCCAATAATAACAAGAAACTATGGAATTCTCAAGTATCACTAAATAACGCACTCACAAGGGGTGTCCAAAATATTAAGATTTTATATATTGCAAGGTATTGAAAATCACACATTACCCATACCAAAACTACAGTATTATTGGAACGAGATACTCATTTGAGAAATAAATGTATAGTTAAAGTCACAAACAGAACAAAATGTGAGGTTTTCTGAGCAGTACATTTTTTTTTTTTTGTGATTAGCCACGTTTCCAAGTTATGATAACCCTTTGCCTTAAGTTCTGCATCAGGCATGTCAAACTAAAATGATTTAAATTTCCATTTCTAACTTGTAGCATTGATGATAATAGGCTACTACGGCATGTTATACTTCATTTTAAAGCTACTTTTCTCTGGAAAACAACCATAGCATTTTGAACCCAACACACAATCGGAAGTGAAATAGTTTATTGTAAAAAAAATAATAATATATATATTGGCCTATCACTCTTCAATTATATCTCTACTGTTTGGAAATAAATACTGGTATAGCAAAGTTATTTGGTATGAAAACTCTACCAGAAAAGAATATCCAAAATCATATATCCCGAAAAGTGTGTCATATTACTTTCAAATAGTATTATTGTTAAAAAGTACAGTGATCATATATTTATATAATATGAATAGATATATACATACATATACAATATCACATGTATAGCAAATATCATAATACCACTGGATAGTTGCTAACCCCAGAACTACAAAGTCCTACTTACGACAACTCATTTTTAGAAAGCTTTCATAAATACATTCTTTGAAGAAAGATTTCATTAGCTAAAGCTTACACACATACAGTTTATATTGAGAAGAGGCTCGCCGTCTTATGCAGAAATTACATTATAAAAGCTTTTGTTTCTTTTGCTGTACGTATCTTCATCTGCGTTAAAAATAAACGTTAATGATTAGTTACCTTTGGTGGTTTCACTCTCCCGTGCCAAGAAAGTGCCCCGCTGGTTTCCTGGAAGCAACAGAAGCCGCTCTGCATCTTTTCTGCCCATTTTACCAAAGTACCATCTGCCAAGACACACGAGAGGAGATCAAAGCGTGTCGCCGTTTCTAATACAATACACGCCATTCATTAGACATTTGCCACAGAATTACCACACACGCAACATGACAGCGCCCTGTATTAGGATGAACTTGATAAGTGTATTTTTGCATTTTCAACAAAGACGACTAACTCATATGTCTGAATACAAGCTGCTGTTCAGACCTTTGGAAATACAGCTCCAGGCTATAGGTACTCTACTCTACTCTACTCTACTCTACTCTACTCTACTCTACTCTACTCTACTCTACTCTACTCTACTCTACTACTCTACTCTACTCTACTCTACTCTACTCTACTCTACTCTACTCTACTCTACTACTCTACTCTACTCTACTCTACTCTACTCTACTCTACTCTACTCTACTCTACTCTACTCTACTCTACTCTACTCTACTCTACTCTACTCTACTCTACTCATATCCAGGCCAAGCTTGTACTAAATTGAATACTGGTTAGTTGTTGGTAGGTTGCTAGGATACAATAGAACAGGCATGTCAAAGTCAAATACATCAGAGGGCCAAAAAAACAAATTTGCGTTGTTGACACTTTGCTGGTTCAATGTTTATTAACTCATTGCCTGCCAGCCTATTTCAGAACAGGTACTCCCATATTGCCAGCAGTTTCTGATGATTTTTATAGATTTTTCAAGACCCACAGAATATTGTGTACAATGACTATCTGAAATCCGCTTTTGTTTCTCGCTTGTAATCCCCAGTTGAGTAGAGGGAAGTTTTACTGAAATCACCAAAAAGCTGAGAAAAAAGAGGCACAACAAGTGCATCTAGCTGTTTTCAAACCATTCAGAGAGCGCTGCTGCCACCTGCTGGCTAGATTCAATATGCTCTCAAGCTTATCCCCAAACATATTAGATATAATAGACAACTGGGAACATGAAAATTGCGTAAATGGCAGGCAATGGGCCATGTAAAATTAATTGACTTTGACACATGTGCAATAGAAAAATACTTAATGCTCATTACTAAGTGTGAACAATAAACTGCCATTTTAATTATCAAAAATAATAGTACTATTCAAGGGGCCACAAGGGCGTCTGATATACGTTCATTTGTTTATTAAAAAGGCACCTGATTTGCAATTTAATTTAAGATTAAGCATTCCTTTATTCGTCCCACACTGGGGAAATTTAAGTGAATATTATGTATAGCACAACTCTATACATACTAAAAAGTGAATATAAATTGTTCTTGTTTTTGCTCATCCATTCACAATATTTACTTTACAATACTATCATACACAGCCACGCTCTGTCAATGGAGAAACCTGCTCATAATCACCAGTAGCAGATATTTATGTTTGTCAATATTTCTCAGCAAACACTCCAGGCTAATCATCTTTACACAGGAGTGGAATTGATATTATGACTCAGCAGCCTTCCTCCTGCTTTGGTTCTCGGTAAGTGTTCTATTATGTATCGAATAACCTGGACTCGAGCCAATTACAGCTAAATCCAAAGTGAAAGCTGCTAAGAGTCCCATGAGGCTCAAGTTGGACGCAGCAACAGTCGGCGACAATGAAGCTGCATTGTGTTGGGGTGTTTACACAAGACGCACAGGAGAAAGGCCTGTGTTCTTAATTGCATGAGACAATGACATACTGTGAAAGTGAACGTGTGTAGTGCTACGGATTAGGGCAGGTGTATTCAGACAGTAAAGAGAAAAATGTGACTGAAAAAGGACTTTAAAGATTGTTTTATAGGCGTTTTCTTACTGCAGACCTAGGTTTTTTGACACATATTGAAATGCTATGACGAGCCCCATACAACGGTGGGAAAGTTTGGCGTCAAGTTTAGACCAATGTCGGCTTTCTATCACAGGAAGGACAGGAGCGTCTCAAAATAAAGGGTAAACGAAAAAGTACAGGATGAAGTAACAGGATTATAAAGAACTAACTTGGATGGAAAGCATTTCACTCTTGTTACGGCTATGCTCCGAGCGTTCAAGTTGAACAGGGCTAAAAGAGTAGGTTGCAAGGCGGGTTAAATGCCAAGTTGTTTTTACCTGTGTCGCTCTGTGTGTAAGGGTTTTTAGCTTTTAGTTGAAATTCCAGTGTTGTTGTCAGTGTCAGTACTGTCAGTGGGGGCACCCCCACTGTGGCACATACATTTCAACAGAGGAAATAGGCATCACTACGTCCGTTAATATTTACAGTGTATGGTTTTTGCTCAGTGGGAATGTGACTAATGAGGTTGCTTCATATATAAATCGGAACTCACCTATCCCCTATTCTTTCCCATTTCTCCTCTTCTTAGAGGTTCAGTAATAATTTGACACATTAATAGCATATATCATGGTAAAATCCAAGTCAAAAACCAGACTATTTTTAGAAATGAGTGTTTTTCCTTTCACAGAATATTTCCATTTGTCATTATGTATAACTTATATAATTACACAGTGGTCTCTTCATGGTTTAAAGGTAATGGTCCTTACTCTTCAGCCTGTATGGAGTCTGCTGGGGCCACGTAGTTACTGGGGATGTAGCCTTTCTGTCCTGAGTTGATGGACCGTGCCTCCCACCAGTCGCCCTCCCTGGAAATAACATTAGAAAAATGTTACACATGGAAGTAAATATAAAAATACAAGTGAAAGTCGTACAGTCAAAAGTGCTATTGCTGAAGAGGCCGAAAATGAATCATAATGAATGTACAGTATAGGAGTAACAACTGAAGCGGAAACAGCTTAGATTTTTTTTTGTCATACATTTTACTTCCTGATTATAATTGTCCAGAGAGTGGTTACCTACCAAACTGGGTCAAAACTCCAATGCACTGAGAGGATGTATTTTTAGTAACATAGGAAAATAATATATTTTGATTTAGTGATGGGGTTGAAGTAAATAAAAAAAAACTTTATGATAAACTGTTTTTATCATTATTAGGTTTGTTAGTGACAGTGCATAATGAAAACACCCATTTGCATCTGCTGTCACACTCGCACACACTCATTCACCATGTACTATTGTACATGTTGTAGTTGTTGGGAAACTGAAGTGAGGAGAACATACAAATTCCACACAGAAAGGCTTTATCTGAAGGTGGAATCAAACTCAGGACCTTCTTGCTGTGAAGCACAAGAACAAACCGCTACACCACCGTGAATCTCCCACTTAATCATAATTTTAAAAAGTTTGACACAGCACTTTTCTGGACACTCCGAGACCCTTCAAACGTCATTATTCTTTCACTCCATACACCGTGGTGATAAACAACTACTGTAGCCGCAGCCGCCCTGGAGTAAACTGACAAAAGCCCCTCCATTCCCTAACCATTCACACACACAGACATACAAACACACACCAGACTCTTTCTAGACATGTGGGTGAACTGGCTTGCCCAAGGACACAGCAACAGATAACACTTTACAGCTGCCCCACTGTGGCATCTTCCGTTCCCCGAGGTCTCCCATCACAGTACTAACCAGGCCCTGCTGTGCTTAGCTTCAGATGTCTATCTCGCACATGCAGGTGGCAAAAACACTGCTTCAAAATTATGTTTTATTATGGAAATATTTTTCACCAGAAAAAAGGCAAAACTAGAATAATGAAAACTCTAATATGCAGTTTAAGTCTGGCAGGGTCAGGGTGAGTGCTCCTATGCTCCAACATGCATGACAGCATTACATTGGTTTTGCTGTGACATAAATTGTATGCAACGTTCTTCAGGAGTTCAGAGATTCATTTTGTAAAAAGTGTGTATGGTGTATTTTGAACACATATCAAATGATAGATAACAGATATGAGCAGTCATACATTTTGAGAAATAACCCGTCTTGTTTATATCCCAGATCAAATAATATCAACGAGTAATTGAAAACATGGGTGACTGAGTACTGCACTTTTCCAAAGCCTAGCAAAGTTTGAATGATGAGAGGCAGCTGTCCTCTTGCCACCATCTCTTCCTCAAAAGCAGATGGCAGATTTATTACCGGTTTGTGCCATAAAAACCACTCATCCAATACGAGCCAACTGCGGCTGTGACACCTGGGCCCAGAGCATATGCTGCAGCTTCACCAGAATGTACACTTAAAACACTTCTGAACTCCGGCTCTGATTGACTTTATGTATTCACCAGTGAATTTGTTATGATGTAGGAATATACAATCTCCTTGTTCAACAGCCTGAGTCCTGGATCTATAGCCTGAACGTTCGTGAGAATTTTGTCAACAGCAAATCTACAGCCAACACCTTTTTCACAAAGGCCAAATAGAAATCCTTGTTTTATTCCTTGTTTTGTCATTAATGATTCGAGAATCATAACGAGACCTTTTTTAGTTCTGCGGCCACATGTTACTTTACCAGTGAGATTAGCTTGACGCAGTGAGTTCTGGCAACCCGGATCACCGTCTTTCTGTTTCGTTAGATATCTCAACCGTGCTCAGGCCCACTTGCAGCCCAAGCCCAGTTGCCGCGGTCACATAGCACCTAAAGCCCGGATCTAATCCTAGAGTGGGCTCAGGCCTACTTTAACTGGGCTTCAGGGTGCGCATGTGACCACAGCCTCAGCTCAAAACCAGAACCAGTCTAGGACCAGTACCTATATAAAAATAATGACAGAGAAATAAACTACAGATATAAACAAAAACCAATATTTTGCCTAAACAGAGTAATTACACTTCCAAAACAAAAAATCCAGGCTCTATATTATTGTTATTGTTGACAAGGATCTGTGTATTTGTGTGATCTCCACAGACTGTGTTGGTGGTTTGACGGACGGCACGGTGAGAGAAGCCATTACACTGAATGAGATGTAATAATATAGTAGAACAATGGAGGATTAACCTTCACACACGAGCACACGGCGCACAAACACAGATGTACTCACGTGTTGTTGATAATCTGAAAGCGGTCGCCTTTTTTGAACGAAAGATCATCCGACGTCCTGGCCTCATAGTCGTAAAGGGCCACGAAAAACGTCACACCACCTGAGGAAAAGTAGAAAAATCAGATTCAATCAAACGGTATGTGCGACTTCTCTTTCACTATTGAGTAATAAACAATTTTTTTTAGCAGGCAGTGAATTTACCCTGTACAAGTATGCAGCTTCACAGAAACAGTGAAAAAACAACATTGAATTCTTGATGAGGACATTGGTGAAAAGGGGCTGTTTTTTTATTTGAGATTATCCTCCAACTAAAGCTTTACACTCCACTCTTTTAGCAATGTCTTCTGTAGAGCATTCTATCAGCACTGAGCTAAAAGTGAATGCATTTATGTGTCCAGCGGCATGGGGAGAGCCGAGGTCCGTGTTTTCGCACTAGCACCACTTTGGCAAATCTAATCTTTGGCCTAATGAAGAGTAGATTTGGCTGAAGTGACGAGAGCTCGCAGAGGGTCTGATGGTTTTATCCCAGGGAGGAAATTGCTCAGACAGGATTAGATCTGCAGCAGCCCCTCAGGCCAGATTACGCAGTGACAGCAGAGCGCACAAGAGCCACCGAAACTGCAGTTTATCCACGGACTGTGCACTAGACACCCCTTTCAGTCCTCAGCTCTCCAGGTACAATACCGTGTCAGGTCTGCCGTCATTCTCTCACTCAGTCGGGGCAAAAAAAGTCTCAGTCAGGATTTGTTTTGGAGCACAGCAGAAGCAGATGCCACGTGAGAAGGAACGGATTGCTTGTTTTACTTATGTTTATATCATTATTGTGTGGCCTTCTGAAAATGTTTGATAAAGTTAATGCCAGAAGCTTTATGAATTCAGAAGTTGATAAAAAGGTCCAATAGATCATTATAAGGGGTGCACCTCAGGGTACCTCACGATAAGATATGATACGATACAAAGCTCACGAAAACGATTATATCACCATATGACAATTATCGATATATTGGTCAGAAAAATACTGTTATAGAAATCTTTTAGTAAAGAAATCTGAATAAACACGAAATAGTTATACGTTTAAGTTATAAACTAATTCTCAACTCTGGATTCAAATACAGCACATATTGGCATAAATAAAAGAAAAATATTAAGTGAAAAAAATACACTTTATTTCATGATAAATGGAATGGAGATGCGTAATGTAGCCATATATTAAGTATTGATACTAATTATTTATTTTTTTTATTATAAAAAAAATAAAAATCGATACTTGGCAAAAGCATATTGATAATCCATCGCGTGAGAAAGTATCACGATACATCACGATATCGATATATCGTCACACTCCTAATCTTATTGGTTATTGTTGTCTCCTGTAGCACTAGTTAGGCTGAGGACAAAAAGCTGTAACATGTTTCTTGGAGATTACTAAATTAGCTGTGACGTTAACAGTCTGGGATCCATTACCTTTTAAGGATTTAATCATTAACAAGATGGAGCTAAACAGGCTGCACAAGAGCTGGTTATTGGAATTTTTAGGGTTAGGCATGTAAAGCTGATAGACAACTGCTGTGCGTATGAGAAAAGTAACTCATAATGACCATTGCGGCAGTATTTGACTTGCCCATTTTCTCATTATCCCATTAATACAAGAGTGAGCCACACACTAGAAAAGGAAACCTAGTCTAAATAGAATATATACAGACATGGAAGCCAAAGCTCAAAGAAAAACCCTGAGTCAATCTAGTCTTTCCACGTCTGAAAGAGCTGCCGTTTGGTTAACCAGCTGATAATTATTAACATGACTCTTGAATAACAATCTAGTCCACATATGTTTCTTATTGTCTGGCTGGACTCCTGACTCCTGCCTTTATTACAGGCTATTTTGGTTTTCTATTGAGCCCCCATGTCTTGGCCGAGTCGTTTTAAATGTCTAATTTGCATAACATCTGCTGCTCATATCGTTGTGCGCATAATAAACCACTGCCAGGGTTTACTTTAGAATATAGGCTTAATAAAATGAATACGTCTTCATCAAGTCTGTATGAAGTGTAGTTTAAAATAATCTTTTTAAACATGACCAGGATTTGCATTGAATTTGGGTGACATTTTCCAAGTTAGAAACCCATTTTCTTTACGTTTTAGAGTTTACAAATGCAGACTCACAGGCGGCAAGCACTGAGCTTTGAGTTGCGGCAATATTAATCTAAAACTTCCCTGTAATGAAAAATTTTAAATCGCTTCATGTTCAAAACTGACAATCTCAAAAGCTCCCCCTTCTCATAGTTCAATTTCATCAAACCACCTAAAAACAACTTGTATGTTTTGGATAAAGGAACAATAATGTGTACATAGCAAGCTCAAAAAAGGTGAGTTTGCATATGTGGTATCCGTTAAAATATACTGAAACTAGAGCTGCACAATTCTAAATAATTATCCTTTGCATCCATGATTCCATGTTATAGTCCAGCAAGGTTCATTTGGTCGTCTGATATTCAATAAGTGCACAATAGAATTCAAGTTTGAGGGGAAACTGAAACTGGAGGTTGTATTAAAGTTCTTGAAATTAAATGACAAACAAGTCCCACTGTGTTTTAAACTAAGACAAAACTGGACTGGACTTTTCCATTTGAAGATGAAACGTCCTTATTTATTGATAGCCGTCGACAATCACAATGGTCCTTGATTTTCTAAGCCTATTTCAGAGCTTTAAACACAGGGACAGCCAGATTTAGAATAACATAATAAGATATATCATATGGAACAAGATGAAATTCTGTTTGTAAAGAAGCCCATGTAAAATTTTTGCGCTCGGCTAATTGCAGGCGATTTAAATTAGATTCCAATCCCTCTTCAAATGTTGTACTTCATGTCTGTTTTTGTGTTGTATTGATTTTTTGCATGTACAAATATTTTGTGCACATATCATCGGATACATAAATAAATCCTATAAAAATAGTTTCTTGTAGAAATGCAACTTACTTCAAAAGCGCCTCTTTACACCAACTACCAACGACAAACCAACCCCATCGCTTGTGAATTGAAAGTGCACAATACCACTAATCCTCTGCCATAGAACTTTTAATCCTCAAATCTATAAAAATAACATTCCGATTCAAAGACTCACCGGTGATGACTCCGGGAAAGGGGCTGCTGACGGCCACCGAGGTGAAAGAGGTGGACGCTCCTCCAAACGGGGCCATGACGGAGGATGCACCCCCGAACGGCGTGAGCGAGGCCCCTGCGTTGTAGCTGTTGTTCAGAGACTTCATGGCGGGGGAGTGTCCCATGAGGGTGGGGTCCGGTCCGTAGTGTCCCAGGTGGGCGCTGATTGGCGTGGCATTGCTGTTGGCGGGCTGGTACTTCAACGCAGCGTTTTTATCCTCTTTACTCCGAACACAACCCATCTTCAAGCCTGTGAAGAGACGAAGACTTTAAATTAACAAGAAACATCCTGCTGCTTGGACTTAGCTTGGCCCCAGCTGAACTTTAACATTCGATGTGCCCACTGAAATGTTATGTGGGCGGGGCTAAAGTTCGGCCGGAGTTGTTGGACCACTAAGCGTACCTGAATAAAATATTGTCTCATAGTCTGGCAATTACTGTAATTATGCTCATTTTGTTGGGTGTACTTATTTTTCAAACAGAATCCATCCAACTACAGTATACACACCCAGTACTACATGCCACATACCCGCAGGAAAATCATTAGTATTCACAAGCATGAATGTTTAACTGTAAAGCAGCTTTTCACACACAAATGTGAATCAGAGTAGATTACCCTGCTGCAACCAATCAGCTCTCAGTCCAAAGAACGACTTGCATGAAACAAAATTGAAATGTTTTCTATTTAGTAGTGTAGCCAATTAATTTTGTTACAAAAGTCAATTTACAGAAGAATTATTTTCCCAAGCTTTGCATAACTTGCTAATGCAATACAATAAAAAATAACTTCAAGCTAAGTCCAGCTGGTCTCGGAGTTCCTTCTCAGAGTGCATTCACGTGTGTCATTTGCTGAAAAGAAGTTTATGAACCGTTATTACGCTCACAAACCAAAAACAAAAACAAGGCGTAACACATATTTGTCAAGTTAGTCAACTGTTAAAAGATGCTGAAGCCAGTGACACCCAAAAGCATTTCTTCGCAACCAACAAATCCCGGCTCAAAACAATGTGTGTCATTGTGCAACATCATATTAATATCATATTTAAAAAAAATATTAACAATTTTGCATTCAAGGTTTGTTTTGTTTTCTCAAACAAAACATGATCAATAATTAGACAAGCCGACGCCACCTAGTGCCTCTTCAAATTGAGCATTTAAAGCCAGAAAAAGGACAATGTTTAAACAGTTGTCTTCTGCTTCATACATACTCCAACAAAACAGCAGCAATTGGTTAAAGGCAAAGAATTGAATTGAATCACAAACAGATTCAATTTAATTCAAATCAATTACATTTATTTTTTGCATAGCCCCAAAATCACAGCAGCAGTTGTCTCGGGCGACTTGACTAAGTTGTTGATTTGAACACAGGAAATGCAATAATAACAAACACATTAGGAACCATTGGTCCAAAAGGGGGTCCACGAGGGTTCTGCTCAGACGAACGGACAGGCCATTAGATCCAGGGCTCAGAGTGTCGAACAAGGACGGAGGTTGTGTGGTGCAGAACAGACAAGGCTCCAGGGAGGGGGGGGGGGGGGGGGTACAGCCCACAAGTGCAGACCAGATCATAATGTGCCATGTCAGACAATGAAATTAAACTGGCCGATACATCAAGCTAATCAATTAAGCTAACAACCGACAATGAGAGAAAAATCAATTGAATGACGTTTTTGATTTATTCTAAGCAAACATTAGTTGACTCTTTCTGTGTAGACAAAGGCAGGAGTGACTCTTTTTGAGGACAGAGGCCTGGAGGCGATTCCTGGGTGGGTCCCGGGATCCTGTTGATGACCTCAGATGACTTCAAGTTTCACCACAAAAGTCTCAAAATTCACCCAAACTCCAGGCCTGATCATATTACAGCCTGCAGCTCTTTCCCGTCTATGACAAAGATGAGAAAGGCTCTTGAAACGTAGTAGATTTTTTTTCCATCACAAAATATGACTAACATTTCCGCAAAACTGTGGTCACCGTGCTTTCAATTCTACTTCTGTGTCCTGGGTCTCTTTGTAAAAAGTCAATGAAATACTGGTGTAAATGAGTCATATCCTGGAATTTGTAAAATGCATAGTTTTAAATATAAGTCATCGGCAGGTCACACAACCGTATTTTGGAAAAGGCGTGCTGCTACTGCCAATCAAAAAGATCTGAGACAGGAAAAAACATGCGCAAAGCTAAAAGAGGCACAATTCAACTAAGTTACAGCAGGGGAGAAAAATGTACTGCTGGGAGTACCGTGAAATGGTTGAATGTATTGCGGGGTTATTCGAGTTTTTGTGTGTGGTTAGTAGAAGACTAAATAGACATACAAACGATATGATCATGTTACCATTCACAATGAGAACACACAATTATAGCCATCCCCATTTTTCATTCATTACAGCCTCATTAGTGAGTATAGGATGGTATATGGAGCTTTCTGGTTCAGTGGACAATGGCCCAGTGACCCAAATGCTTTATTATGCAGAGGCAATCGTCATATTGATTTTATGAAGCTTGTTTCTGCACTCGGGAGTTGTCGATTACGACAGGCAAATGAGAACTATTGCGACTGAAGTCGTGAACTGGTCTACGACTTCAGTCGCAATAGTTCTCATTTGCCTGTCGTAATCGACAACTCCCGAGTGCAGATCGTAGAGGAGTGCAAGTTTCTGGGTCTAACTCTGTCTAACGACCTGAAATGGGTTAAAAACACTGACCGAGTCGTTAAGAAAGCTCGTCAGCGTCTCTACTTTCTGCGTAAACTTAGAGAATTTACCACTTGTGTCTGTGTGGTTTGGAAACATCACAGATAAAGAAAAGAGAGCTTTAAACAAGGTGCTCCGCTCTGCAAAGAGGACCGTGGGCTGTGAGCTTCCTGTTCTGGAGGTTCTTTATAAATCCAGACTTTTAAACAAAGCTCTTAGGATTGTCAATGACTCTTCTGGCCACCCTGGGAAAGCCATGTTCCAGCTTCTTCCCTCTGGCAGAAGATATCCCTCTCTGAGATGCAGGACATCTCGTTACGCTAACAGTTTTTATCCACAAGCTGTTATCAGTGTGAACAGAGCACTTTAATGATTTGCACTTGTTTTGAACTGTTTTAGTCGATCGATTTCACAGTGACATTTGTTTACTGTTTTATTTGTTTTATTTGTTTTATTTTTGTCTTTTAATGTTGTTTTCTGTCTGTATTTGTCTGTGCACACTGGAGACTTTTGCTAATGTATTCCAATGTGGTTTTTTTACTGCAAATGGCAAATAAACTGAATCTGAATCTGATCAATATTTCCACAAAATGTCAACTCATTAATATCAGTTTAGTGCAAAAAAAAAACACTACGGTAACTACGATTATATGATTATTGAAAGCCCAGTATGAACCAAATCGGTCTCTGATGAGCACAGGGACTGGCCTCATGCTGGTGCACAGAGTCAGGACTAAATAGGGACACAGCGTTTCATATTTTTAGGAAGACGATTTCAACATTTTTGGCTGCTTAAATATGAAACAGGCTTCCGCTCTGACAATGTTCAAATCCAGGTGAAAAAAAATAACTGTTAAGCTGCAGAAACAACCAAAGAATTGTATTTTCACCCTTTAATCTACTGCGATCATGTATGATTTGAATGCCTTGTTTTGTATAGCACATTTCAATGGCTGGTACCTGAACTGTGCTATACAAATAAACTTGCCTTGACTTGCCTAAAGCCTTTCAGACTAAACTATGAACCATAACCTTGCTCCCAACGATGGTGTGTGGCCTTGGCTTGAAAGCAACAGAGGTCCAACAATCAATGTATGCATCTCTGCCTTTGCGATGGACGGCTCACTGCCTGCTGAACAAACGCCTCTGACCATAAAGCACGTATAACCGGAGCAGATTAAAGGCAGGGGAGCAGGGAGCAGAAGGGAATAGAAATAAAAAGGGTTAAAAGATGACAAAACCTCTAAAACCGAATTGCAGCATGAGAGAAAATGTGCCAGGAAAAAAACTAATCTTTATTGAATTTGACGAAGTGATAAAGTTTTGATTTGGTTCAAAAGTCAATGACTCAAATGCTGCTGCTGTTACGTGATGGGTTGTGTGATGACTTTTTTTGATGATATTTCAAGAATGGATTGGGATTCATCTGTATATAGTGAGTAAGACTGCTACAACACGAGTGCTGTTGTGCAGTACATTAACACTTCATTGTGTTTTGCTTTTAACATGATATACATTCTTTTGCGAACATGAAGTTACTGCTCAAAAACCTGCATTGTATAGAGTGGGCTCTCTTTTCACTTGATCTGATGTTTATTCGGGATCGGCGATCTGAAAAATTGGACAATATGATTTTTTTTTGCTTCATCATTTTAAATTGAACAAAGATATTTAAGTCATGCCAAGAAATATCCCTTGTTCTTAATGCACATGGCGGTAAGAGATGGAGAAAGGTTGAATTGCTTGTCTGAGTTTATTGCCACGTGTGGGACATTCCAGCCATAAATGACAGATTTTATGTACACATGTCTGTGTATAGTTTTAAGGTGGTTTTATCTTGTTTAATTGTGCACTTTGGGTTAGCTTGTATATAAAGTGCTATACAAATTGGATTGACCAGGATAACAACCTTAAATTTTCTTCTACAGAAAAGTTGCATAATACATAGTGAAAGGCACAATATTTTCATCAAAATGTCAACTGCTTTTCCATGTGTTGGTTTAAGATGTAAGGCAAGGGAAGGCAAGTTTATTTATATAGCACAATTCATACACAAGGCAATTCAAAGTGATGAACAAAATAAGAAAGCATTAAAATCATAAATAATCACAGAACATTCAAAAGAAAGATAAAAATATAAAATCCCTCAGTTGTATGCACAGCTAAACAGAACTGTCTTTAACCTGGTTTTAAACATTGTCAGAGAGGAAGCCTGTCTCACATCTTCAGGAAGACCGTTCCAGATTTTAGCAGCATGAATCTGAAAAGCTGCCTCCCCATGTTTAGTTGTAATACCCTAACCCTAATATTTTCAGTGTTAACCCACATATTATTAAATTATAAATTTGTCTAAATGAAAACATAACGCATCGACTCCTGAACGTTGAACCTGTAGCGATCTGAAGCGTGAATAGAAGCCGTGTCGGTGAAGCGTGTGA